TATTCCTCATGACCACCCCGACAAGCCTGGTTGTTTGAACAACCTCGGCAACTCACTGTCCACTCGATTCAAGCAGCTGGGCAATCTTGCAGATATTGACCGGTCAACCTCGATGATAGAGGATGCAGTACAACTTACTCCTCATGACCACCCTCACAAGCCGGCATGTTTGAGCAACCTAGGCAACTCGTTATTCACCCGCTTCCACCATCTCCCCGATGCTGCTGCTCTCAATAATGCTATATTGGCTTTCTCTGCCGCCGCCCGCTCATCAGCAGGTCCCTCTTCCACCCGTCTGAAGGCAGCTCTGCAATGGATTCGTTGCGCTCATCTTATTCCCTCCGAATCTCTTCTTGATGCCTACGCCGTAGCCATTGACCTTATCCCTCAGGCAGCATGGCTTGGTCTCCCCCTCCGAGACCGCCACCGCGAGCTCCTACGAGCGGCAGATGTTGTACGAGATGCAGCAGCCTATGCTCTGGCACGTGGGTACTACAACACAGCTATTGAATGGCTCGAGCAGGGCCGCTCAGTTGTTTGGAACCAGCTGCTGCAGCTTCGTACCCCCCTCGATGAGCTGCAGAGTCGCGATTCAACGCTTGCGAACAGACTCCGTCAAGTCTCATATGAATTAGAGAAGGGTAGTGGGCATGACATGGCTGGAGCTGGAGAGATGAAGAATGCTGGTGGGTTTTCCCTGGAGGAACAGGCCCGACAGTACCGTGGACTCGCAGTGGAGCGCGAAACGATTCTCTCAGAGGTCAGATGTCTGCCTGGTTTTGAAAGATTCTTGCTGCCAAGGACTGTCTCACAACTCGCTCCTTCGGCACATGCGGGACCCGTCGTCATCCTTAACGCCAGCCAGTACAGATGTGATGCATTAGTCCTCCTGGCTGAATCGGACGACGTACTTCATGTCCCCCTCCCTGATATCACATACGAGCAGGTGGATAACTTACAGAAATCCCTGAATAGATTGCTTGCCAGTCATGGCCGTGTTATTTCGCCGATGGACAGAGCTATAAGAGAAGTTGTATGGAGGGATCGAACTCCTGACGAATCGTTCAAGTTCATTCTTTCGGAATTGTGGAAGAACGTTGTACGGCCGATGTTGGATGCCCTTGCTTTTTCGGTATGTACTACAGCATTGATGACCTCGAAGAAAACTCATATATGTGCTCTCAATCTAGACTCCAACCGCAGGAGAACTATCTCGTATTTTCTGGTGCCCCACTGGTCCATTTTCATTTCTCCCCATCCATGCTGCAGGTCTTTATGACGACGCCAATACAGGACCGAAGCTCTCGGATTTCGTCATCTCGTCGTATACACCTACCCTCAGTGCTCTCGCCCTCCCACTGCAAGAAGGCACTACTGCAAATACTATGCGCCTTGTTGTTGTCCCTCAGCCAGCATCAGACGGGCACACTCGGCTGCCGGGTGCACGAATAGAGCTTGGACATATCAAGACGACGCTTCAAACCTCCCCATCTACCCCCGTCTCTCTCGTAGAATCCATCGGGACCGTGGACGACGTACTGACTAAGATGAAGGAGTCGGACTGGATCCACTTTGCATGTCATGGCATACAAGACGTCCGCAGTCCTCTCGACAGTGGAATCGTGCTTGCTGATCGTCGCCTCTTGAAGCTGACGGACGTCATCAAGTTGGCGCGTCGTCATGGAGGACTTGCGTTCCTCTCCGCCTGCCAGACTGCCACGGGCGATAAAGATCTTCCTGAAGAGGCTGTGCATCTCGCTGCAGGCATGCTGCTCGCTGGGTATGGCGGAGTGGTTGCCACGATGTGGTCGATACGGGACAGTGATGCGCCCAAGGTGGCAAAGAGCGTGTACGAACAGCTGTTCCGGGATGGGAATTTGCCCGACTACAGGCAGGCTGCACGGGCACTGCACTACGCGGTCAAGCGTCTTCGGGAGGAGCACAATGTGCCTTGTGTGTCTTGGGTTCCGTTTGTACACATTGGTCTGTGATCATGTTACTGCATTGATTTTTCAAGGCCTATCATCATTCACTGAGATTGCTCGTTGTTTTGTCTATCGTATACACCTACATGGATATGTGTGATGTATTGTCTGTACTACTTATTATGTAGCTGTGCCACTTTCTCTGGTTTAGGACTGATCAATGGTATGTACAAGAGTTGCATTTGCGATTTCGGCTTCAGAGTGACCGCGGCTGGAGGATGCAGAACACGATGCTTCTTCTATTTCTACGAAACCTACGAACAGTGTTTGTTGTGTTACGCATATCACTTCATGAACTCGCTTTCATGCGTTCCTAATGTTACTATCGTACCCGCGAAACCGTTACTGTATAATAGCTTGCTGAACTCCCGACGTTGGTTGTCGTCGGGTACCGTAATGGCCATACAGGCTCCGGTCAGCCCTTGCCTATACAGTATTCCGTGCGCTGCACTTGATGCGTCGGTTAAGACGTACGCTTGAACATGATGACCGTTCTGCAGGAGCAGCGTCGGGACAGATCGCAGACGTACCCAACCCGCCGGAAGCATGTAGCCAGCTGTACAGAGTGACTTAGATGATCAGCTAATATCAGCTGCAGACAACTGTCGTAATAGTGAGGAGTACGGGGAGTTGGCTCATTCGACAGACCGGTGAGTATTGACAAGGATGCGTTCCACCACCCCAGCTTCACCAGCCAAGTTTCGGGCTCGTCAAAAATTATGGTAAATCTAAGTATTCAGTATCCAATGCACCCGAACCGGTTGTGATTGTACATATCTCCGAGCTGTGGCGGTCAATGCAACTCCCAAGGCCGCATCAGTCATAGAATACAAGCAACCTCAGCTCTATCGACTCCCGTAAAGCCGCATCCGCGGGCGTACTCGGATCCTCGAACGCAGTGTGCGGTGTCAAAATGGCGACGCCGTCAGTCTTTGAGTCGAAGCTATGTACCATGTCAGAAATGAATACTTCCACTAGACTTCGCCGAAGGGCACTCACCATTTAATAAGCACAAATTCATCAGGCTCCATGCCCTTCAAGTACTTCCACTGGTGGTTCGGGTTGTGGCGCACGCTCATCGTCTCGCCTTCCCGGTCTGGATACTTGAGTGTCGTAGGAACGAGGTCCACCTTCGGGTCAACGGAGCGGTAGTCGCATAGTGCAAGTGGCCAATCATATGCCGCGTGCGAGATCGGTCGCCACAGGTTTATAATCTGGAAGCGGCGTCGAAGGAGATCCGGCGCGTCCACAGGAGGAAGATGTCGGTGTACGCGTGCGATGGCGGACGCCGTCGTCTGGTCGACGTGCACGAGGGGAACAGGTTGGCGCTTCTGGGGAGAGTCGTCAATTTCGCCAGGACGCCGCCGGCGAATCGCTGGTCGAAAGTGTGAGTGTGTGCGTGAAAGAGACATGACGTCGATCCGAGACGTACTGTGGTCAAATACGACTGCCCGGCTCGCGCCCGTCAGCTCCTTCACGAACTCGATGCTCTCGGGGTAGTAATCTCGTTCAATTTCCTTATCATCCGTGAACGCCTTGTGCGTAGCGGGGCGACGATAGAATTGGAAGCCAGTGGTGTCGAGTGTGAACTCGTGCTCCTTCCCGCGGATATTTTCTATCTGAACCGTATGCGGATCGTCGAGCCAATTTCTGCGCGGTTGGCCGGTGCTTGGATCTGCGTTGACGTTATTGTACGGCTTAGAACCATCTGGCGGCGGAGCAAAGTAGATAAGCCCAGCAGCAACAGTGTTCTGGGCGGGGATAGTGGTGGACATGATACTGGCTGTAGCAAAGGCGGTTGAGATGAGAGATGGTTGTGAGCCAGGAATGCTGGACGTGCCAACGGGAATGCGGTCATGCTGTTTATATATCTGGATTTGCCTTGGGAAAGACGACGATGGCGTGCTAGGAATGGGGTTTCCGCCGCTGACCAAGCTCCGAATCGCAGTACAAGTCTCGCTCAGTCAGACAAGGACGCTGACGGACACGACACACTGTGGGCGATTTCAGAGAGCTCGAAAGTTCTCGCATAGCTCCGGATGGTGGGCGTAGGCATGGCACCAGAACATGATTGCTGCGCAAGCTTCTAAGAGTCGATGGCGAATATACACGGACAGCGGTCATTGGGGTAGGCTGCGTGGTATACTGTAAGTAGTAGGCTGCGATAAGATGCAGCTCGATTGATCGGTCATCGCCCTGAAGCGCCGCATAAGAGCGCTTGGTTGCCCCGCAGCTCCCTTTCTTCAACCACCATCGTTGATTTCGTCTCAATCCTTCAACCTCAAAGTGAGTCGATGTTTCATCTATTCGTCGTTCGAAGCTCATGACTATTTCCTCCAGCAACATGCAGATCTTTGTGAAGACCCTCACGGGCAAGACCATCACGCTCGAGGTCGAGTCGTCGGATACCATCGATAACGTAAAGGCCAAGATTCAGGATAAGGAAGGGTCAGTATCGTTGTGCGAATGGCAGCTAGAGACGTTTGAATTGACATTGGTTTGATCCAGAATCCCTCCTGACCAGCAACGCCTTATCTTCGCTGGCAAGCAGCTCGAGGATGGCCGCACCCTCTCCGACTACAACATCCAGAAAGAGAGTACTCTGCACTTGGGTAGGTGTTCATGCATACGTTGTCGCTGCCCGCTTCTGATGACTCTTTTTCAGTCCTTCGTCTGCGCGGTGGTATGCAGATCTTTGTCAAGACGCTGACGGGCAAGACCATTACGTTGGAGGTTGAATCTTCCGACACTATTGACAATGTGAAGGCGAAGATCCAGGATAAGGAAGGCATACCTCCCGATCAACAGCGCCTCATCTTCGCCGGCAAGCAGCTCGAGGATGGTCGCACTCTTTCTGATTATAACATTCAGAAGGAGAGTACTCTCCACTTGGGTATGTACTTGCTTATTAATGTATTGCATGTATACTCATATGCTATGTATCTAGTCCTTCGTCTGCGTGGTGGTATGCAAATCTTTGTCAAGACGCTCACCGGCAAGACGATCACGCTGGAGGTTGAGTCTTCTGACACAATTGATAACGTGAAAGCGAAGATCCAAGACAAGGAAGGTATTCCCCCGGACCAGCAGCGTCTTATCTTCGCTGGCAAACAACTCGAAGATGGTCGCACCCTGTCCGATTATAACATCCAGAAGGAAAGCACTCTTCACCTCGGTGAGTATTGTCAGTATACAAGTGAATGTGGCGCTCATCTATTGCTCTTCAGTCCTCCGTCTCCGTGGAGGTATGCAGATCTTTGTCAAGACGTTGACGGGAAAGACTATTACCCTCGAGGTTGAGTCTTCCGACACCATCGACAACGTGAAGGCGAAGATTCAGGACAAGGAGGGCATTCCCCCGGACCAGCAACGTCTCATTTTTGCCGGGAAGCAGCTTGAGGACGGACGTACCCTTTCTGACTACAACATTCAGAAGGAGAGCACTCTCCACTTGGTGCTTCGTCTGCGCGGCGGGCTCTGAGTGTGTCTGGGTTTTGGATGAACATATGTGATGTCTTGATGTTGTTGTGTATCACTACTTGTTGCAATATCATTCGCTGGTTGGTTGAATGCTACCAATATTATTTGCCTTGAGTCTTGGGCTTCATGATCATGTCTCGACTGCGCTCGGGGCGTTGACGCTCGCACTGCAACCACTGTATGCTGGGTGCTGGCCAGCAATGGATAACACGGCGTCATCGTTGCGGACTCGTACCCCACTACAGTATATTGACATTCTATGGATCCGTGGCGCTTGCCCCGGCTAATTATAACTTCTCACTGTCACCACGTCTAACCTTAGCTTTTAGAACTCGTGATGCTGTTGTGCAATACATCTACGACTTCAATTTCACCATAGATCCAGAGTCGAAGGTTCATCGCTTGATTCATTATCGCCCAGCCAACCGGGGTTGCGATTTATGCGTAGCAAATTTGGTGATGTCTTTTTATTTTGTCAGAATTGACTCGGGGGAGAGCGAGAGGAGGAGGCTCGGACGGTGCAATTGGGTGCGAGGATGCAATTTGGATGCGTGCTGGGTGCAATCTTATGGTAAGCAGTATATCCCGTGTAGCTTGTGTCAAGGCTCGTGCGCTGGAGTTCTGATCTCGCTTGGCATGGACGCCGTCGGTTGCTGGAACGTTGAGCTTCTGCAGGTTTAAAATAAGTTCATCCTTGGCGCATGGAGACTCCAAAAAGAGCTCTGGACTGCTGCCGAGAGGCGTCCATGGATTTTCCGACAGAGAATCTTAGCACCGCAGCACAGAAGTTTTAACGTTGACTGGAGCTTGCGGTCGCAGTTCGTCCCAGCGTGGTCGACGTTGTCTGAATATATTGACGGGGCGACGCCGATACGTGCGCCGCAGATGTGTTCATAGCAGCTCGTCCCTGTTACGGACGTTCTTACAGCTGTGCCCAGATCCAAACACGTGTTAGACCTGGTGCTGTCATGATGATGAAGAGATATGTACAGTACTATATCCGATCCCGAGCTTCGCAGCGGTCGCCGGTGTGATCACATCATTATTATTGGCAGCTGCATGTCGAGGATCTTGCAGGCGTTATATGTCGATGGCTTGATGTTGGGTACGTAAGTGACAAGAGCCGAATACACGCATGCTCGTCCTTCCTGATGGCCTCGTTGACACGCTACCCGGATTGCCCTTTCCTCTCCAAGGTGGGCTGCACAGTTTTTTTTCTACCTTGGAGCGCTGAGTGGAGCAATACGAGGTTTCCAGGTACGGTCGCGTTATTTATTTCCATCTGACGCAGAGTCTCAGGCTCTTCAGATGGGATAAAATGATGCGCTGCGCTCGGCGCGACTCTTCTTACAGTCCAATTCTTATCCGTCACCGAGTCTTCACGAACGGCCGAGGCTTTGGGATTCCGAGCCGGGATCGGCCAGATCTCTCTGGTCCGGAGCCCTGTCACCGCCCGCATAATCGTGGGTGGATACTTGGATTGCAATCTGTATCTGTATCTCTTCCTCTACACACTCTTTCCCTCTCCGTGTATGGTGGCTTTTGGTCCTCCAGCCGTATCAACAGGATGGTGGAAGTGACCAGCGCGAATTTGCACACCAGTTTGGGTGCTTTGATCCTGGGGGGCATGGTCGCAACGGCGTGAGTGCTCTGTTGTTGGGTTGCGTCGGCGTCTCTAACAGCATGTGCTGCACAAGCCTCTCGGGCATTGTCTCCATGCAGACTATCCTTTACTTCCGCCTGTTTGAAAATGATGACTCCATCCTTAAGCTAGTGGTGTGTTACTTCCTCGAGTATTCGCGTATACAAGCGCGCGCATTTATGGTCTCCCTCAGGTTGGAATGGTCTTGTATGCCCTGTTTTAAAAAAATCTCTTTTTCAAATTACTGACATTGGCGGTGCGACACCCTCAAGCATTTTGGACATTTTACATACATGCATGGTATGGGCGGCCGATTGGATGTATTTCGTAGATAGCTTTGGGAACCCAAATATCACTGATCACGTCTTTTGGTGCGTCTTTCTATATTTGTTAACTTACATGACCCGAGGGCAATATCGCCAATGTTTAGGGCTGCTGGTGTATGTGATGTGATTTAGTATATGCGTTTTACATTGAACTGACAGCCGTGTTCAGCTGACAATTGCATTGACCGTGCGCAACATTTATTATCAAAACCGTTCACTTACCGATGTCCTTTGCAGGCCATTACGACTATTGCTGTCCATCTGTCAGTCTCTATACTTGTTTCCTTGCAGAAAAACCACTTACCCGCTTCATGCAGATTCTTCTCGTATCGGCTTTTGAAGTGTAGGCTGTTCAGTGTCACTATCAGAATCAACCGCTGAAAATCTCATTCCAGTGAGCAAAGGCAATTATTTCCTCACGGTACCAGTGGTATGTGTTTAATATACCCCATAAGTCAATGATCTCATTTCATCAAATTAATTAAAGACACTTTTGGCACTGGGTCGAGTCGGTGAGTCGTATTGAATTATGGAAAGCCGGTGCGCGATTGAGCAGCTGTTCTTCACAGTTTGTGCTATTAGTGAGTTGACTCCGTCTCTACATCTGAGAATTGTAACACGAATTTTTTCGCTAGTCACTTCCATTGAATTGTTCGTTATTGCACCGCCTTATCATCAACTCAATTTTCTAAATGAGTTGCTGCAGGATACGATTAGAGAGCTTTTATGATTTCTACACTCATTATCGAGTAAGTGGTATGACACCCAGTCCGGATTGAATGTTAACCCATGGCGGTTGATGATGAAATAGTGGCTCTTCACTCTGGGCCTGGCGCTGTCGGCGGCTGTTGATGTTATGATCACCAGTGGCTTATGTCTGTATCTTCGAAAAAGTCGTCATGGCGGAACTGGGAGGTGCGTGACCAACATTTGTGATTTTTATAAGATGAATCTATTGTCGTTTAGGCTGGATCGTGTCTTGAATTCTGTGACTCTTTACACTGTGGAGAACGGTCTACTTACATCGTAAGTTTGTTGCATTCGCAAGGAATGTGCGTGGGCTGATGTTTTCTAGTGTGATCACCGTCTTGTCTTTGATCTTCGTGAGTGACAAAGATCATGGCTCCATGACGTCATAACTGAAGATACTCTCGCAGTGGCTCGTGAAACCCCACGTTCTTATTTACCTTGCGTTCCACTTCGCGATTAGTAAACGTGAGTTTGTCCTTAGTGGCAGATTTTGCTTGACGCTGGATTGATATCACCAGTTTATGCCAACTCGTTTTTGGCATCGTAAGTACTCCGATTCTGTGTCGAAGGCTCGCCCGCTATTGGGCTAATGTCATCGCACATAGGATGAACGCTCGCAAGCTTTTGAGGGCACAAAATATGACAAGCTCAGGATCTGAACATCGTCTTCCAGTTATTTTATCACACCATTTAGCCGGGAGAGATAGGCGGGTTTCTGTGCGGATCAGTTCTTAGGTTATTCTTACATTGAAGCTGACGCTCCCAGCAGAGGATGCAAGATACCGTTGATTTCACCAGCACTAAGGTATGTCATTCCCAGGATGCGATGGTACAAGGAATATAGACTAAATTTCATTCCGCTCAGCTGCAAATCACAGTCGACAAGACGGTCGACTATATTGCAGATGACCCTATTGCGACGAGTTCTGCAGACGAACCTAATGCCATCTAATCGGTCGTGTTACCCATGGTCAGATAAAAGCATGGCCTACGTCATTTCTACTATAGTTCATTCGACGTAATGATCCCCCTAACATAAGACATACAGTTTTGAAATATACACAATTTGTTACCACACTCAGATAGGTGTGTACCTTCGTGTACGTGTTATCTACACAGGGCCATACCCTTACACAATATAAACGAGAGTCACAAAGATATACACGAGGACGGGATCTTTAATTAATGTCAACATGAACGTGGCAGTGCCAGCCACATGTCTTCACTCTGCTGCCCACTCGTGCAACATGCACTTTCGTGAATGTCCAAGTGCATAACATGTTGACCGAGTCGTTCCCCATGCTGTGATCATCACGACATCGCCCGATGAGGGAAGCTAATGAGCGTGCAACGTTCGTGTCGTTCATTTACATCTGCTGATAACGAGCATGCAATCCTGCAGGTGTGTCAAAGGTACCGAGCATTCGGAATGTACCTTTAGTCTGTGGATATCGAAGGCTTGCTAAGTTCTGACTAGGCAACTCAAAAACTCAATCCAGTCGAACCCCATTCGATGGATCAATCACCCTGAGAGTAACGATGAAACAGCGCTTTGAGATTCTAGGTTTCTGACCTACATTACCTTGATCAGTCTAAAACATGGTGCTGGAGAAGCAACGAGCATGGCATATGGTATGCGACTGGAACCCTTACGCCCTAGCCAGAGCCGAAAGAGATAAAGGTGCGGAACCATGCACCAAGAAGACTGCCATCGCGGACACGCGGAAGCAAGGAGGCAGGATAGGCCAAATTGCTGCGTCCGCAACACAGGCGGCCAAAGCGTGAGTCTCATTGATCCCGGGCCCTCGGGCTACATATTGACCTCCCTCGTTCGTTGGATCTCCCCTATCACCTGCCTTCTTCCCCATAGCTAGGGCTGCTGAATAGCCAATCAAACGAAATTAGTCGCACTTGCCCTATACCTTGAGGCCCACAAACCTGAACATGAACTGGTCATTCGACATTCCAGAGACTGTATATCACCAGCCACCTCGACAGTCGTCTCATCTTCGCAGAGGTCTCCGCGACGCACACCCTCCGAGATCACATTCTTCCACCACCGAAAGCCAGTCCCCTCGCCTTGCTTATCCTCACAAGACATTTACCTTAGACACTTGCGACCACGCTCATCCGATGAAGGTTCCTTGGGAACATATGGCTCAGACTTGTGCATGGGTACTCGAGCAGACTGCCGCAGATATAACCAGGAAGAACGAAGAAACACTGCGATGGGTTCACCAGCAACAAGGACAAGGACCCTCACGGTTGCAGACCGAAACCTTCCAGAGGAATGGCATCGATAGTCCTTCACATCCTGTGGAATTCATCGAAGTGTTTACTGTCGAGCTTGGAGATCTACGCCTCACGCAGGAGACGTGGAGAGCGGCAGAACGATGGCAAAGAGAGGCGGAAAGGGTTGTTGCGGAAGAAATGCGACGGCTTCGAGCAGCACGACTGGCGACGGAGCGATGCAAGCTAGCATATGAGAGGAAAAAGGCAGAGGATGAGGCAAGAGAACGCAGACGGCGAGGAAGAGAAAGCGAAAGAATGAAGATGAGAAACGATGGGGCAGATCGGAGTGCATGGGATACCTACGAGGCTCGATGGGCGACGATCGCGTCGAACGCAGGGTCAGCGGAGACACTGACTTTCGAGACAATACCCTGGCCGGTATTCACTGCACCACGATCCGCGGATGATATCAGGCCGGGACGGGTGGCCATGTTCATCCTATCTCCTGTTCATTCCCAGGGCCAATCACGGAAAGAACGAATCCGAGCAGCATTACGGCGATGGCACCCAGATCGGTTTGGCCGATTGCTCTCCCGTGTCGAAGAGCAAGACAAAGCGATAGTCGAAGAATGTGCCGGACATGTTATTCGCTGTCTGAATAATCTACTAGAGAGGCAAACCTAGAGTCAACGGCGAGGTGAGCTCGTTTGTAACTCCATCATCCAGTCGCCGGACGTACCATTCATCGTTACAAATCAGTGCCTTATCATTGCTATGATTTCACGTCGGGTACGTGATGCATGAGCGCGGCTAATCTACGTACATAATGACATACGAACATGCTGGTAGCGGCAATGACGAGAGAGAATGAGACTTATTCGATACTGAGGTTCAGAAAATCTACTTGATATGAAAAGCTGCCCGGTGCTCACCAAAAATGTTCAAAACGTGCTGACATTGCTGAACGGCTCAATGGGATTAATATCGCATCTAACTGATGCTGAACAAGTGACGCGCAAGTCGTAGTATGCGCTCTGATGAGAGTCTGGAGGGGATGGATTCGCTTCACATAAATACGTGTGTCGCCTGAATGTCGGCCTCAGGCTCGCCACCACGGATGCCAAATTGAGACGCTTGAAACGCGATCACGAGGTCGCGTCAGTTGACTCGGGAGGGCGCCAAGTCCATGCATCTCTTCCGCGTACGGCTCGACGAAAGTCAAGATGCGCATTTCTTGCTCGGGTGCCTTGCCAGTCATCTACCTGACCTCGTTCGACCCATTACCTACACGTTGTCTTCGACATTGCTATACACAGCCATAGCTTCTCTCTCATAATCTTGAGAGCGGACAAGCACTATGTTAAGCGATGGCCAGAGTCATCATGCAGCACTTGGCGGCGATTCGCAGTATTTCCTGAAGTTTGTCGGGGCTGCTCTTAGTAGTGAGCGGATTGATCCATCCCTATATGTGCTAACTAATACTAAGTGTGCCATAACAAGATATGGCAGCGTCCGCCGTCACGAATCCGTTGGATATGTGAGTCGTAGAGTCTATCAATGTAATGGGAGTCTTCAACTATGCCATTTTTAGCATAAAAGTGAGCTATTCAAGAGCTTGTCGCTGACTCACGCCTTATGAATACAATGCATAGGTTCGCCAACAGTTGCGGACGCACGGTGGGCGTCATTCACAGACAATATGAAGAGTTATCGTCAACCATTTGTAATTTAATTAGCACCCGGCGCACAAAGAAACACATTTTGGACTGTGGGTATCGAGATGGCCCGTTCCGAAGGCATCTTGAGCCTTATGAACGGCTTCTCTGCAAGCATGCTCCGCGAGCTTGTCTATTCCGGCCTGCGCCTTGGGTCTTATGAGTATTTCAAAGACAAGTTGGTGACACAATGTCTCTCTGTGCGTGCATGGCTAACATGATCGTTTCCTAGAATTTATGATGCTTCAAGGGGTTCACTGCATAAAGATGGAATTGGACTGAAAGCTGCAGCGGCCATAGTTGCTTCTACAATTGGATCGTAAGTTCATGAGTCATTCACATGGCGTTTGGCTGTTAACACGCTAACTTTTGGTAGGGCTTCAGCCAACCCAACCGATTTAATCAAAGGTTTGTTGATATCTTTTACATACTATAGGACCGGGCTGTAACACAAAATTTAGTGAGAATGCAGGCATACTATCCAGAAGGTAGCCCATATAGAAATATGCGACATGCCGTCTCGGTCGCATGGAAAGAAGGATCATATAACGCAGGCGGGGCAATGGGCGGTTTCCGAGCACTGTACCGCGGAGTGGTCCCGAGCACCACAAGAGGTGTAATCTTGTCAGTCTCACAAATTTGTTCGTATGACCAGACAAAGCAGGTGCTCAAACAAAGAGGAATTATGGAAGAAGGTTTAGCGTTACACTTCACGGCTAGTATGATTGCAGGGTAAGTACTGGACCCGCATCGATTTACGTTTTAATAATTTCAATTAGATTGGTTTGTTCTATCACGTCTAATCCTGTCGGTGAGTGATCTTCGAAGGCTGAAGGCGCGGCTAACGCTGTTTACTAGATGTTGTCAAAGTGCGACTGATGAATGACAAGAAGCGGGAATATCTTGGAGTCTCGGATTGCGTCAAGATCATTCTAAAGCGAGAAGGTCCGCTGGCATTTTACAAAGGATTCGGAATGTGTTGGGCTCGGGTGCGTCTTTGCAGTCCATTAACGTGTATGCAGACCTAATGGTCTACGATCTGCAATTCAACAGCTCGGAACTCATACCATTCTCACATTTGTCATTTATGAGCGATTCCGACAGGTTTTCGGAGTAGCTGCAATGTGACTGATCCGTAACAATATTTCTTCGCGATAATAACATTTTCGTTACTTGTACTTAAGTACTTACACTCAACACGAAAATCTCGCAAGATTTCGAGTACTCTTGTCATTAAATCTCGATCATGCGGCTTTCACGTGATTGTGTCGTTGATGAATCTTTTGTTCGTCGTTTTTGGTGAACTTAAACCGGGATGAGCTCCTTCAGGTCTCCAGATCTGAAATACCCAAAATTCTAATACACTCGCATTCTCCGGCATAGGGGAACCATGTTAAATGCTCTCCAATCAAACAGAGGTTCCGTGCAAGCTTCTCCGACACCCCGAACATCGTCGTTCCGCAACCTTGGGTACCCGCCAATTCTTACGCCGTACGCCTAGGGTAATTCAGAACTTGAAAGCGCGATGAATAGTGACTCGTGAGTCTCTTTTGTTGTGGTCTGAGCTGGTTCAACCCAAGATCATAAATGGAAACCATTGCTGGCGACGCCGGCCAGCTGTGGTATCGCAGATTCTCATATGTGAATCCGTTAGGGTTAGTTTAGTACTCAGCCATAAAAAGATGTAGTGCGAGATGTAGACGATTGAGATCGCCTACAGTCTCGCACATGAACGATGCTCAAGTGATCGCGTCTCACTTCTCTCCGCTGAGCATTGCGAACTGATTCTGATAAGTAAAATAACAGGAGCAGGGAAACATCTCCCGTTAGTATACAGGGTTTCTGCTTCGAAGCTTGTTGGCGTATTGACGTCGCATTAGAGGCCCTTCCGTCCTACTTCGCCTGGCTCCGATGATGATATAGGGATTGTATCTGGCCCTTCTCGTCAGCTTTCGTATGGTGGGCAATCTCAGAACGCGACCACTGCAGTTCTTCGGCAGCCTGTGGGTTTCTCATGGAATGCACCCAATGTACCAGGTTCAAGCGGATCCCATCCCCCTATCACCTCTAACCCAACCACACAGCTTCCCCAGAGTCAAACTACTCCAGGAAATGAGAAATCTTCCAAAAAGAAATCTTCCAAAGGCAAGGAGAGGGACAAGGAGAGGCGTCGATCCACATCCTCCCGCCGTGACAAAGGGAATGACAATCTACGAACTCAACATCCTCCCATTGCAGCCCCTCATTTCTCGACGACAGGCACAGATATACCAGGCACTCGAACTGCTTTTCGTGTCGACGATTATGTGAACGATCCCAGTGCTGCGGGGTTGCCAACATCGCAGGCGACCGGGCCCTATACTTCCGATTATAGATCGAATGGTGCATCTACTGCATTACAGCAGCCCACTACGCATACTGTGCCGTTGCCTGGGCCGTTGGGGCCTGGATCAACGTACAGGAGCGAAGGTGACGATACATTCCTTCATCATCCCTCAATTATCTGACATCATGGGATCAGAGCAATCTAAACGGTCCTATTATCGTCACGACTACGAGAAACAGCGCGATTCCGCACCAGCTCGTCGTGCAAAGCATAAGCCCCCGAACGGTAGCTCTACTGCCAACGTGCCTGCTTTCGATCATCATTCTTCTACCGACAACGCTCGGATATCTCATGCTACTACCCACGGGAGTGACTGTGTTGCATACACCCACACTGATAACACCCAAGCAGCGTACTCAGCACCAAATCATGCTAAATCGCACTCAATTCGCGAAAAACAGGCCCGTCCTTCTACTAGCTATACCCCTGCTGATATCAGCACTTCTCATGCAAACAGCACTGTTCACAATCCCCGTCCGTTTCCCGGCAGCAACGACTACTCTCATGATGTTGACGCTTATGATTCTGGCATAGCGAATGATTACAATAGCTATGAGCCCGAGCGGTCAAACTCGTCGCAACCAGCCACGTTGCCGTCACCAGTTACCCCTCAGCATGGAACTGGCTCTTCTGAACGTCATCGCCGATCACAAAAATACTCCCATAGGTCGGAATCGCAAGCACCGAGATCCAACGCTACTTCTTATCCTGCTTCGTCTACTGAACCGGTCCTCACCCCCCCTGTCCGTGTCTTACGCACCGTAACACTTCTAATCGAAGATAAGAGAACAGGCGAGACGGAGTGTTTGTTGACGGAGGTTCGTATTCCGCTGAAGGCAGCTGACAATTCCGAGGACGGATTTTGGGCTGATGCTGTGGAACTATGTGATGAACTTCAGAGAGGTCCCTCGAGGATTGACGGTATGTGAATTTATGATTTCTAATAAAATCGAGGCCTTCGACCAAATCCATCGGGATGATTTTGTAGGCCCAGCCAAGGTTTACACAATGCGTGGAAAGTACCGCCAGTATTTCCTGCGGGTGACAACTGAGGGTGACAATGACTGTACCTCGGTCAATCTTAAAGTCAAGAGAGATAGAACGTTAGAGATGTTTGTTGAAAATGTGCGTCTCATTGTTGACCACGATGTATATGAAAAGCAATTTATCATCGGTTCTGCAGAATTCTGCCCCCAGTGCGAGGCCGATATCTGCAGCACCAAGTCCTCAGTATAGCCCCTCTCGTTATGGCCGCGAGCTTTTAACACCTGTGACAGACTCGATGACATCTTCTCCCGTTGCTGCTCCTCGTCCGGTACTTCCCTTCGATCCAGCCAGGCTCAGTACATCTAGTGGACATGACCTTGTGACTAATGGTTCGCCGACTCCTCGGAAGAGGCGTCACTCTATGAGCTCCCGATCCTCTGCCTCGGGTTCTCATAATATGCAATACAGTCAGTCCCACCAGCCTTCTCCGACGACCAGCGGATCTTCGATTTCTCGTATGTCTCCGACGTCACAAACTTCGCCCACATCTCAACCTTCCCCACTAGCGCGATATTCTCCTGTCTCGTATTCTCCTGCCCCCTCCCCTTCTCCTCCCCTTAGACCACCTAGCACGCATAAATCCTCGGGTGTACCTCCCCAGGACCCCGCACAGTACATGCAGCCTCCTCCCCCTCCTCTTCCTCAGCCTCCCTCCCCGTATTTGCCTCCACCTACGCCATCACAAGCGCCGAACCCGTTCCTGCCACAGTCAACACCTTCGCGGACAGCGACTTCATTCTTGACTCCATCAACACCTTCGCGAAACCTGAACCTGCCCAATGCACCACCTCCAACTCCCAGTTCGCCCAAGTTTTCGCCATCGGCTCCGCGTTCTATGGATACGTACACCTCGTCTTCGCGGATAGATGCTTCACACATGCCCTCATCATCATCACGAGCAGCTTTTTCTCATCAGGGCCACATGCTTGATACAAGTTCGTCTAGTCTCCCAGAGCCCTCTCCACCAAAAAAGGCGAGACTCGATACACCAGAGGGCGATTATGCGCCCTCCAGTGAGAGGACGCATTATCCTCTCAGCCACTCGCGTACTCCATCAGTGACCGGAGGGAGTAGATCGGTCTCTACTTCATCAACAGCTGCATTCACCACTCATGCTACTAATCCTTTCAGTGCCTCGCTGCCGCGCGCTAGTGGAGTTTCGACTCTAGCGCAGCTCACTCCGTCTACGCCTCAACACTCTACTCCTGTACCTTTCCAGGCACCATCGGCGAGTCCAGAGGTTGATAACGCTGTTGGAACGTATCTACGATCCATATTGTGTAGAGGGGAGGCGTGGGACGATTTTGTGAAAGGGCGTAGTAGCGTGCTTCGTATGTCGGAGCAGCTGAGGCAGTACCGTTACATGAAGAGCAATTTTGATCAGTACGTGAACACCCACACTCCACCAGATCTTGCGAATGCTCCCAATGTGACTATTACGAGAGTAAGTCCATCTGGATACTAAGCCACTGAATCCCATTCACTCTGTATTGGCAGGCTCAGGTCTTGCGCGCGTTTAATCTGCCTACAACATGGGGCGACGACTGTATGGAGATCCTGGCTTTGACCAACTTGTATGGCCCTGTCGGCAAACGTTACGTCGATCCTCGCGTTGTTGCCATGCTCGACGAGACTCCCCCAATTTCGACCGGGATGCAGGTCAAGAAGTATTTGGCGCTGCTCCGAGAGATCCACAGCAGGTGGACTATTGATCACCCCGATTTCTGACCTGTTGTTGTAGTTCTTGTATACACAGCTACTATTAGCTATCCATGTTTTGCACGGATTGGATGAATTCAAGTCGATCAACAGTCATTGTATAGCCATTTGTGAACGAGGATGTGAGGTAGACGCTTGGTGACAGGTTGTGACCGAGCGCGTCTGGGAGTGTGCGTAGCATGACGCCTGCGACGCGTTGCATGTCGACTGTCAGTCCATTTCCACTGTGATAGCCGGCGAGTAAATTCGTGGAGTCTCGAGCAGCCGCTTCTTGTTTTTCGGTTTTAAGTTGCAAATACCCAACTGGTATCAAGATGTCTGACTTTGACTCCCAGCTTCTGCACTATTTGCCACAGGTCTTAAGGACCAACGAGTTGTGTAAGAGTTCGGACAATGCTGTTATAATTTTTATCTGACCATATTCTTGCGAGATTAGTGATACAATGTCCTGGCGTGTCGCTCTTCTTCCTTGCACTTGGTTTCTTGACGTTTGCGAAGTTCACGGTCAAGGCGTTTGGCGTTGTGCTGCAGACCTTCGTACTTCCAGGAACTAGCGTACGCACATTTCTCACTTCTACATGCTACGATATCGCTTAAAGTTTCCAATGATGTAGTTGAAGAAGTATGGTGCTGGCAAGGGTGCTTGGGCGGGTACGCACTTAGAATTCGTGTAGCGTCTGTCACACGCATCGAGACTCACTCCCCGACCTTCCTCATAGTTGTGACGGGGGCTTCAGAAGGGATTGGAAAAGAATTTGCCCTTCAACTAGCGAAGAAAGGATTCAACGTGCTGGTCTCGGCCCGAAATGCGGATGCCCTCCAAACTCTCGTTAACGAAATCGGTATGCGTTGTTGTAGCTTCAATTTCAGTCTCATTTTAAGTCGTGTTTGACGCCTTGGACAGAATCCAGTGCACCGCCAAACAAGAACGTTCAAGCGAAGGCAATTGTCATGGATTTTTCAAAGTTGTCCGACGAGTCTGAATGGAAGCGCTTTGAGGGAGCGTTGGAGGGCTTGGATATTGGTGTCCTTGGTGCGTCACACGTACCATGGCCGGAATTTTCTTCTAATGCGTCTATTTCCCCGTTCCTATCATAAGTGAACAACGTTGGAAAATCACACCGAGCTCCCATCTATTTTACCGAGGCTTCCACACAAGAGATAGAAGACATTCTGACCATTAATGTCAATGCAACCGTCAGGGTTACTAAGATGGTTCTTCCGGGCATGGTAAATAGGTAAGTACGACCTATTGTCTTAGATTCACTCATGTTAATTTTTCCATTGCAGGAAGCGTGGTCTGATCCTCAATATGGGCTCATTCTCGGGAACAGGCATCGCTTCTCCGATGCTTGCTACGTATGCTGGGACTAAATCATTCCTATCCACGTTCACAAGCTCTCTGGCTGAGGAGGTCAAGCACAAAGGCATTGATGTACAGTGCCTGAATACATACTTTGTGGTACGTACATGGGTCCCGAGCGCTGTGGTCTGCTGAGACTCACTGTGCGGGAAAGGTGTCGAACATGTCACAGATTCGTAAGTCAAGCATCACAGCGCCCACTCCGAAGAACTACGTCCGTGCTGTCCTGCAGAAGGTTTGCATTTGTCTCTCTTCTGCTTCTCGCTGCGTTCAGCTGATATCGCCGTCATAGGTTGGTCTAGCTTGCGGCGCTCTCTGGACTGGTCGTCCCAACGTCAGCACGCCATACTGGAGTCATGGAATACTGGATTACTTGATGGTGAATATGATTTGTGCGCAACTCGCAGACGACTTCTAACCTCTTGTTTTGATCAACAGAATTTGATTGGCTGGAAGATGGTGTTCATTCGCTATACTCATGGCCTTCACTCGAATATCCGAAAGCGGTATTTGCGCAAGTTGGAGCGCGAAGCAAAAAAGCAGTAGCCCTACAGAGCGCCTGCATCGCGCCTGCATCGCCTGCATAGTGACGTCGACATGGCACAATTGTCCTGCATCTGGGTCCTGTTCCTCGGTGTTAATCCCAAAACTACCACAAGATAGTATTTACTCCACAATGACTGATCGTGTCTTCCACTGCACTCATTGAACGGAGATACGTCTAGTATCTTGTGTGCGGAGTGATCATGGTAATTTACCTCAGTCTATTGCAAACAACTTGTACGCATGTGTGTAGACTTTGGAACTCTCAAATACCAGACTCAGTTGGATCCATGAGTCCGAGTCCAGTGTACACCAGCTGATAAGTCCACCTAGGAGCCTGATATTAGTATGTTCCCTCGGATTTTTTCAAGATTCGAGGGTACGTCTGATATCACGTTGCGCTTGGGCTGTGCGCATGTGTATTGTACAATGTCACTACAGACCAAAATCTTACATCTCTACGACTGACGAACTATATCGTGACACAACTTGAACGAGAGACCTTGCTTACTGCTCAACGGGGGAGAAGATAAACAGCTCGCTAGGAAGGTACTGCGGGGGCTCGCTGGGCATTACAATGAGAGGCCGAGACTCAAGCTGTGCAAGCAGTGATACCTTTCTCAGAAGACGAGGATTTGAATTTGAATCAAATTGGCATACCTGCGCATCGGGGCCTATCCCGTCAGGGGCCACCCAGCCCTCCTCCTGGCTAGCTCTTTCAACACTATTTAGTGACTTTCAGCGTGATTGGTTTCGTACGTATCCATTGGATGCTCACGTGTAAGCACCCTGGAGATCCTGGTAGGTGAGGATCCACTGTTCCCGGGATTCCAGTACGCCTATAGCATAGACTTTGCCGTCAATTACACCGGCAGATCCGTCACCAGTCTCTAGTTTGTAGCGGCCGTTATCAAGCTGCGTTACCACCCACTACATGATCGTCAGCAAATGCACTGAGAGCTCAGTGTGTGCTGAGAGGAGCATACCGTAGGGGCTTCAGTGCCAGGTGGAAGTACGAAGACTTTCTTTGGGAGGAGTGTGTCACCAGACTCGCGAGCCAAATACGAGCCACCTGGTGAACCGAGGCTGTTGATAATGTAAGCACCAGATGGGAGAGACATTTTTTCGAGGACGACAAAGTTGCCTGACAGTAGACCGCTGTGGGTTGGTGAAGACTCAGAAATGACCTGGCTGCTCTTTTATAAGCTGAGTTGTAGAGACTTTGGTCCCCCAGATTCTAGGGTACTTCGGTCGACATGATTTAGAATTTGGAGAAAGTGAAAGGAACAGGTGATATGCAACCAGAAGTTCATGTCAACGAGCGGACATTGTCTTACTCCACTCGAGAGCTATCCAATGGGGCTGAGACTCGCAGTTCCATTCAATAGCTGACCATGAAACGCCTAGCCCGTACAAAGGCGATCTCCCTGGATAAGCCATGATTGAATTCAGGTGTGGGTGGACCTGCGCTGGATGACCTACGAATTTGACCTCCGTGACCAACGTCCGATTCATTCCGGAAGTTCAATCATTGGGATGTGTTCTGGATGCTCTGTTCTTTCATCTATTCTTAACTAACGATTCACAGATCAACGAAGAGAAAGTCAGCTATATTTAGACCTCTGCAGCTCAAGCACGCACTTCTCAAGAAGTTATCGGTGACGACTCTGGCCCGAATTCGTCATAGAGTGAAGAGCCACCCCAATTCCAGCACGTTCTAGGGATGATGTTCTCAGTGAATGACGAAGCTTCCCGAGCCTGGAGCTACTGCTAATCGTTCTAAAAGGAAAGCCATTGCGTCAACAAGATTCGACAAACGTGCGATTGAGCGCCGATCTCAGCCGCTCGAACTAGCAGGGAGCGAGAAAAGCACACCTTTCATAGTGGATCTCTGTCACCAAAGGGAAACCGTGAACAATAGTGCTGCACAGTCATGAAGTTAAAGACCGACGCTCGAGACGACTCAAAGACTTCAGGTTGGTCAGGATTCAACATTTAATAGCGAGCGCCACTCAATACTGATACGCTGGAGAAGTAGTCAGAACCCAACCTCGTGCTGATTCAGCCCAGCTTAATAACGCGCGGGTGTTGGATATGGACGAAGCAAAAATACCCCTTGGCAGGGAACAAAGTTGCTGAGAGAAGAAACATCAATGTGAATCCAGATGTTATAATCGATTCTACTTGACGACTCACGATAACATTTTAGAATTGAGCGAAGGCCCACAGCAAGCCATAAGGTATGAAAGTTGCTCTGTACGACGAGGATGGCAAGGAAGGGTCGGTTCGAGTACCCAGCAGAATCTCATTGCCTACATAATGCGTAATATAAGAATAATACTGTACGTTAATGCATACATTACGATAGGATCACTCCGAGTCATCCATTGGGGGATGCTGTATCCTCGCTTCACGCTCTTCATCGTCATCGATGTCCGGCTGAGACTGGAACGCTGCCCACACCATCTCATGCTCCGGACCAGCCACAACCAGCTCGAACAACTGATTCGCCATATCTATATGACACAACTGATCAGTTTCGAATCCTACAATATGTTGACATTGGGTTACATACCCATAGTCTGGTCAAGATCGTTTCGCAAGCTCGCAGACAGCTCGTGTGGTGGCTCTGCATAACACAGCCTGCCAAGCGTCACGTTCAACATATGTTGTAGGCCATGATACTGTGGGTACGGTGCATGGAGGATCTTTTGGCGCAGATTAAGCGCCGAATTTCCGGCGCCAAATACCAAGCTAGCAAATAATGATACAGTGCGGATTATCGTCACGACAGTTCTGTGACAGTATATTAGCTAGGCCGCCAGATACTAAAAATTGAAATCATGCATACGATCCGAGCATAGTCGGCGAACGCATAAGCTCATAGTCCTCTTCATAAAACGGCGTGACCAGCTGGTTCAGAAAACAGATGATGGACGGTATCAGCGTTCGCGACTGAGTCAAGATTGTCGCGGCGTCAGCGTGTGCTACAGACAGACTCGCGACGAAAGTAAGGATTGCCTCCTTCAGCGCATCCGCCTGCAGTCTGCTATTAAACGACAAACAATCATCAATAGCGAACACTCACATCCCTTCCCTCCCTCGTTGGGTCTATCAAATACAATGCCATTGCTTCAATGTGAGGAATGCCGGACAGATCCTGTCGATCCGTCTGCAGCGAAGGGAGTTGGGATTGCAACGGCATAGACAGAAGATGCCTAAACAGTGTGTTATCTAGAATCACTCCTCGTTCAGTCCATCATCCATCCAAAAAAATGGCCACTTACGCGATGCAAGGATCGCCAACATCCGCACTGAACGATGTAGCAGCCACGTTGGCTGGGAGGATGCCAGCAATGTTGACAGCACTCCAGGACTTCGTGGAATGAAAGATAATCTGTAAGATGGATATGAAAATGGTATAAACCACTTGATGTAAATATACTCGCCGATGGACAAGCTCTTCGGGAGTCTTCCAAGCAATAACCTCCAAAAGTCCCAATATCTCCGTCGCCAGTGCACACCGCGTGTCATTCTCATCCTCTATTGTAACGACATGTACACGAATCATATTGCATATTGCCACGAGTATCAAAGGAGGAGCATCCCCAACGTCGTTCGAACTGGAAGACAAAACCAGCCGAAGAAATGATGGCAAAGAGATTGCTAGAACTCGTATCAAGTTGACAAGGGCAGTTAAGGGGCTCAAGGTACTGGTTTCTTGAAGGATATCCATCATCGTGACCAGCGTATTAAGTACAGACTGGCTTGTTTCATCAATGTCTTTGAGAACAGTCGATGCGGTCCCCAGAAGTTCAAAGAGCTCTGTCATCAAGCCGTTGTATTCCTGGATACGCTCTGGAGGGGCCGTATTCGTCAGCGATGCGCTAATGATCAACTGGACAGTCAATGCGTCCGAGGAGGGTAGCCTATGTGTTAGTATAAGTCGTTGAATCTGTGCGTGAGACGGTGGACGTTCAATCGTCGAACACACAAAATCGCTAGTGGAACTACGAACCTCTGCTGTCCAGTCCGGAGGTTCAATATCCTCGACTTCTTCGATTAGCGCTTCATCATCCTTCGTTTCGTCAAGCATCTCAACATCACGGGGAGCAGGACCCGGGACAGGAGCCAAGCTAATAAGTTCATCTTCGTGACCGTGGCCTTCAACGTGACGTCTAGCTGACCGTCCCGCGGGTAGAGGACTGCTTGGAGGGCTACATGGAGGAGACGAGGTAAGGAAAGGTGGCGGGGAGCGCCGCTGCGGTAGCGCAGGTCGCAAAAATAAATCATGCTCTTGTGTATCTCTGCCGAACACGCTTCGCTCTCGCCCTTTACCCTTGCCCTTCAATCCTTTGCTCACTTGGGATTGTGTGGGTGATGAGCTAAACGCATTGACAAAACCTGGCATTGTCGTGGTCTTCTTGGGTTTGTCCTGAGTCCGTCCAATGGTTGTCTTGGATCGCTCTATAGCTTGACTCAGTGCACCGAATAGATCTGATTCAGGATGATTGCTTTGACTGAGTCCATTTGCTCCCCCAGAAGTGCCTCTGGGATTCCATTGTCGCATCTGAGAAGACATCCTAACAGGAGTCGGGGGTGCTTGTCTATTGATCTTCTTGGATCGTACCGACCATGGCGAACTACGTCCAGAAGTTTCGAGTTCATGTTGCTAAACATTGAGGTCAGCATAACTCTTCGCTTACTCAGGCCCAGATCAGACGGACTTTGAAAGTGAACTGAGTCTTGAGACGATCCATCTCTTCTTTAGCCTCTTTCCGAATCTGCTGCTGCAAAGCTTCTGCCGCTTCCTTCGCAGCCCTTATGCGAGCGACTTCCGCCGCGTGCTCCTGTGCATTCTGTGCAGTATGTTGTGACTACGTCATTTCGTGGAGAAGAACTGTCCTAATACCTTTTCAATGCCTTTTCGAAGAATTGTAACTTCGCCTTCTTTCGCGAACCGTGCATCCTCTGCTTCTTTGAGATACTTACGCGTGAGCTCCTGCTCTTGCTTGAGCTGAAGAAAGAGCTGAGAATAGGCAGGCGCGCATGGGGGATAAAATCCAACCTGTTCGAACTGAGAGCGTAGATGTTCCAATTCACTCTGTAACCCAGCCTGTACCTCTTGGCCGACGGAGCTAGCATCCTGGATCTCGACCAGCGCATTGTTTCGCGCTCCGAGGGCAGGAGGTCTGCGTGGCTGCAGTCGACTCGACCCTGAACCCTTCGTAGGCGCATTGATTGGACTGTGGAATGCTGATGAAGGTCCTGCTTGGTATACGGCACGCTGCTAAGAGCCCACAACTGTTACTAACTCTAAGGCAACATACTTTCCAAATGAGGGACCGACTACGAACGTTGGAAATCATAGCCTGTTTTGCAAAGGCGCGACCATTTGAGCTTGCTCCTGGGACGGGAACAAGACTGGTGCTCGAGACTCGCCGACCAGTGTCCTCCAGGCCATACAAACCGTCTCCGCGCACCGAGATCTCCGGTAAGTCTTCAAAACTCTTCGTATACGATACGCGCGGGGGCTTGGGCTTCCAGCCAACTTCTAGCTTTTGCCGTTTAAGAGGTGGAGGCACGTCAGGATTCCGAATGCTACTCGCTTGTGTGAGTCGCTGGGATTCATTGTAAGTGTTCTCCGCCTCGTCCAGGACTGCTATTACGGAATCATCGATATTGAAGTCATCGAAGAAGTAATCATCCGTGTCCTGCATATGTTGCTATCGGAGTATTAAGCATCAGAGGTCGAGTACAAAGGCAAGGTGAAAAGCGCCCACGCCACAGACGCGTTGAACGCGGAAATTGGGATCGCGTCTAGAGCCACGCCAGTCTATCGTCGGTCTGCATACGCAGCGTAAATTCATAGCTATTGGGTTTACTGCTATAGACACAATGATGTACATTCCAGTCTGTACCACAGCACTCCACTAATCCCATGCTCTCTACAGATTTGCTGCGGCCAAACTCCGGTCGCGAGTCCTGCCAGGAAGCACAAGAATACTGTACGCCCTGAAGCCTGCAAAGGACAAGCATCAACAACCCACGCATGCAGAGAGCAGGGTCTGTCGAACACTGCACCACGCCAAGAAATATCTGACTCGGTCATAAGCAAGGTAGTATCAGGCCTTTGCTCATCGGTCTGTCCAAACGCCAGACTCTCGGCGAGCGGGCGGAACACCCAGCGCGCGAAGGATAGGCATCAGGGCCAGATGTAGGAATATGCGAAGGCAAGGCTGCAAACCGGGCCCGAATCGTCAACCAACGTAGCGTATTTTAATAGCGCCATTGCGGTTGCGTGCTTCGAGAGCTGAGAACGATTTAGCACAATGATGCAGGCCTAGGTCGTGATTGCTTCACCTTTCAACTCCTCTGCTTCCTCGCGCTGCTCGTAATCCAGAACCAGCTTCTTCAAATGCTGTTGCTCGACTTTATCTTGCATCTGAGCCGTACGGGTTTGCACCGCTAATGCAGATTCCGAGGGGATAGCAAGCTGGCGCGTCTGCATACCATAGCTCAGCTAACCGAGCTTCACAAAGATAGATTCAAGATCGTACCTGTGGCTTATTGCCGCGCTTTGTAAACAGTGTGAATGTCATGACACCAGGTTGGTCATCTCCATTAGTATAGGCAGCCTCGCCATCGTCATCGTTGTCATCGTTCCGCCTCTTCCGCAACACTGGGGGAGGAACAGTAGATTCCCACAACGCAAGCGCGGTCTTCTTGTCGACTTTCCTTGATTCAGCGGATGTATCCGTTACCAGTTTGGCAAATTCTTTGGCGAATTCAGCATCATCTTCCTCCGAAGGGCCTAATGTTTCCTGAGCGGTTTTGAGTACGACGGCCTCTGGAGATGGTGCACGCTCGCCAACCTGTGCATATCCTCTCTTCAGTAAAAGGAATGCCGAGAAATGAACGAGATCCAATTACTGGAGATTCAGGCTGAGCTTGATCGTCATCATCCTCGTCTATTTCATCGCGTCTGCCATCCCCTTCTTCACCGCTGTCTTCGCCACTATCTTCTCCGGCCGTCACTGCAAAATGGTTGACCATCATAATCACTATCTCATACTGCGGATTGCATTGGCACTTACCGCCGGCATTCTGATATACTGTATTGAACATTTCATCGACAGCCACTACAGCTTCGTCAAAAGATTTGAACATGGTCAACTTAGGTCTGACAGCCTAAACATCTGTAATTCATAACTTTATTCATCAACAGCTTGAATATACACTTACTTCAAGTGAATCAGTAAGCATAAATTCAACATCCATGGGAAGAGAGGCTTTGCAAAGGACATAGAGCTATTGCATTTGTTAGTCGCGCCTTACGTCTGTAAGATTATTGAATTAACTGACCTGGAAGAAGGTCAAAAAACCATCCAGCTTCTTAAGTTGAGTACCGCGATCGAAACACATTCCACATGTATCCAGAATCACACAGACAAGGCGTATTCGGAAGAAGTCATCGGGCATGTCAATAGGAGATGGTTGACTAGGCAACGGCCTTCCCTCAGCTGGAATCCGGTTAGAAATATGTGACGCTACGGTCAAACGTGGCACTTACGATGGCCAAAAGTCACAAACGTCCACAAGGTGTCAAAAATTATACCAGAGCTAATTAACCGATAGATGTATAATTCACCCAAATACTTCACTGTGGCCACTCGTCGTTGATTGATCCTGTATGCGTTCTGTTCCAATCCTCTCCTGATGTCTTCGAGGACCTGATCAACGACAGCGATTGCGAAGGCAGGGTGATATCGTTGCAAGTCATATGTGAGCATGGCCAGTAGAGGGACATTCCCATATTTGACCTTCCAGGGCTTTGTGAATACTTTATGCAAAGTGCGAAGAACGGTGGAGTCGTTCCAATCGAGCTTGCGAATCAGTTTCAGAACCTTGTCGATAGTCTTCCTTGTAAGGACATCATATATGAGGTGACGGATAAACAGCTCCATGGGAGTGCGCTCCTTTTCATGCCTAGCAGCGCGCTCCGGAGGATTGCACTAGATAACATATCAGTATACTCCATCTGGAGTGATGGGGAAAACTACCTGGTAATACGCGTTCTCTAGTAACAGCTGCTGTCTTTGGTCGAAATGCTGCAAGCTCTGCTTTCTTCGCATAAGCTCAAGCTTGAAAGTCAATAGGGAGTCAGTCAACACCATAAATTCATGGTATGTAAGGCCTGACCATCTTGCTGAATGGCTCGTTTGTCTCCGCACTTCGGAGTAAAAATCGCCCACAGCCTTCCAACAGTAACGCAACATTATCCACATTGGTACCAGAGAAATCATCCAAGCAGACTTTGAGCATGTGCAAGATTAGATGAGGCGGTACGACGCGGAACTTGGTAAGATTCGACAAGAAAGTTATGTTCTGACGCAGCGTCAAATCAATCTTGATAGGTAGATCTATGTCACATTAATACTGACCTTCAACCTAACTTCAGCCAATTCATTGACGACCTTCTTCTTACGTTGAAGATATCGAAACTCCTCATCGAGCTGAGAATAGTATGAAGCGGGGCGTACATCTGAGCACCTGATAACCCACTCACTACGCTCACAACCTCGGATCCAATATCGGGCATGTACTTGTTCAAGATCGCGACTAATCTCGAGTAATGCGGAAGTAAATCTGTCCGGTTCTTAGGTGTTTGACTCATGAACTGTAGCTCTTCTGTCAGGTGTTCGGCATATGCAACGCATTCACGGGGTTTACCTTCACTAGCCGCTTCCTAGCTGCCTTTGAGTTTAAGAAAGCAAAATCAACGGCAGCCTGATCAATTAGAGCACGGTTCGTGGCGTCAGGTAAGCGTGCAAGAAGTGCGGCGAGCAGTTGTGATGGACCCTGAGGTGCAAGCTGGGGCGTCGTTGGCGGCGACGTCTTAGGCGTCCCGGGTGTAGGCGTTGGCACACTGTCAAACCAATATCAACATATGTCCAATTCTAAGGGAAAGCATGAAGCTTACTCGTCTTCAGCTTCTTCGTCTTGAACACCCTTCGTGCTAGCTCCCCCGTCGTTGGCGCTGGTCATAGCATCTGCCTCAATCTTGCTGTTCATGCCAGCCAGCTCTTCTTCCAGTTTCTTCATGTCCTCCTTTTCTTTCTCTCTCTTCTCCTTTTCTTCTTCGGTCATATCGATTTCCCCATTCTCCACGCCTAGAACACTACGTGGGACATAATCCTTGAGATCGGGAACGTCCTCGAAGAAACGTCTCTCTTCTTCGTCTTCCCATTTGCCGCCGACCACAGATTCCGCATCTGCACCCACCGTGTTCAAACCCGTGTTGGTTCCGATCAGGATCGACTCTGATTTCTGGGTCATGGTCTTCAATGATGGCATCGGCACGTAGAGAAGCTCCGACAGGCTAGCATACAGATAGTCACGTTGGTGTGTCAAGTGTAAAGAATAATCAGCAATATCGCTCACGTCTGGCAGCTTGCGAGGAGCTTCTCGTAACTCTTGGTCATTTTCTCGTATGCCTGCTGCCGATCTTCAAATATTTCGCCTGAACGAATGTATGCTTCATGATTTCTCCGGTCTTGCTCTTGCAGGCGCTAAGGAGACGAGTTAGCTTTCTGTCCGATTACAGACGGAAAAGAATTCACATTGTGTTCGTTCACGAGTTTCTTTGAAACATTGTCGAAGTATCCTTCGCACATCTTCTTGAACCTGTCCCTAACCTCCTTCTCGACCAGTTCATCCGCCTCTGTCACTGGCGTAGGAAAATCGCCGTTAACATCTGCATTCGCTTCGCCCGTAGTAGTAGCTGAGAGCGTCCCCGGTTCTGATGAAGTCGAAATTTGCTTGGCCGAAGATGGAGGAACGAGACCTAGGTAGGGGCGTGCGAATGACTTTAAAAACGTAGAAAGAAGAGGCAATGAATAGAGATTTGGATCGTTGGACAACTACAAGCTGTTAGTAAATGCATCAAGAGAACATAGAAGGGTGAAAAGTACGCACCACATCCTTCATAGCTTTCATTATCCACTCCCCGCCGCTCCTGTCGGGACCATCTTTGATTATCCCAACGAGAGCGAGCTCGGCACATACGCGAATGACAGGCCGCTGACGAGAGACTCGTGCTGTCTCTTCTTTTTCACGTTGCTCTGGATTCATTGCAGATAATACTGCACGCGAAGGCGGTGCCATTGCCACGGACAGAGATGAGATTAGACTAGGAGTAAACGTCTTCGGAAACCGACGATGAAGTAGAGAAATGATCTATGCATAGTATATATTGGCATTGTAGTCTCAGGGAGGGACATGACGCCCGAGGAAAGGCAGGGTTAAACATACCTCTGCAGCGCTCCAGACATCCTTCTCCGTTTTGCACCGCCCAATACCCTCCAGTACAGCACCTCCGAGTTCATCCACATATTTCTCGAGCGAGAGTGTCTCGATATCCTTGATGATTTGGTCTCGATTCTCAACGGCCAGCGACAGTCGAATACGCTTGATAAGTGCGGTGTGCCTCTTCAGAGATGAATCCAGGGACTTGAAGGACACTGCGATAACTATATTATTTGAAACCCCCGCATTCATGCGATACTGGCGTACCTTGGCCCGCCTGCGCTGCATTAAGAACCTTCATATTCGCCCGTCTCTGGCGGCGCGCGTGCTCCTCGTCAATTCGCGCTGGCACAGCGCCATTCTGGACCGCTTCCATCTTCTAATTGATCAAAGTGGGCCAGAGATCAAGAATTTTGCACTAGCCCGAACGATTGCGGTAGTAGAGGAGAGAATGAATAATGTTCCAACACTGCTTTGCTCCAAGAACGAAGTTCAAGTTCCGGAGCGACGCGAACTTAGCGCAGCCACAGCTTAATCCCATTCAGCCACCAATTGCTGACAGTGGATCGTATCGCTAAACTATGTACTACTTATCAAAGAGCTCGTTCGATCGCTCGGCAAATATTCACGTTCCTGCATATCGTGGCTTACAATTTGAAGCATCTGTGACTCTAATCTTGGGCGATATTTGGAGCTCCGGTCGAAGCATCGCCACACTATGAGCACCAGTTGATGAGTACTTCAAGTGTTTGACTTCTGTTAAGACTTCACATGCACCAGTGATACTCCGAGTCAGTCTACCGTCATGTTTCGAAGAAAATACAGTTCAACTGTTCCGGCTCCGTATCCCGTATTGTGCCCCGCTTCGCAGATTTCGTCCACAACCGCCGCGGCCACATGCATTTGCCGAACACGTTGAAAACACCATCTTCGCCTGGTCCATCTGCCTTGCTGGCGCAGCAACTCAAGCCTATTAAGTCTGGCACGCCCATACGGTGAGGGTGCGTTGTCATCCCACAGCATCTGATGTTCGGCGAAGGCCACGTTGACATCCCAACCACCACGTCCATGACCGTCCCTGCAACATTGGACCATCCGAAACCATATGCGCCCTCCGTTTCATCTACCGCTGGCTACGAGTAAGCACATTTATCGCACTATTCATATTGCGCACTCATCTACGTAAGGTCATCTGTTGGTTCTCCTGCATCTGGCAGGTACGACGTGATGCATGAGCTACGGGATGCGACATCTTCACCTTCTCCTCTTGGCGAGTTCCTTCGCGATCCGGTCGTGCTCACGACTCTCATGGGGACCAGAAAGAAACCTCGACGTAGCGCCTCATCGCAGCGAGAGCACAGCCGCGATCGAGAGTCGAGCGGTAGAGAAAGTACTGGCAAAGAGTCACGCAAGAAGTCGAAAGATTCGGACACCTCCAGCATTCTGACGTTAGTACTGGCTGAAGAGGAGCGCCAGGCACATCATCTCAAAGCTATCCTCCGGAGCACAGGGGATCGCCTTGAATTTGAGATGCGTCGGGCGGACCAGGCCGAGTCGCGAGCGCGCATCGCAGAGAGCCATGCACGGGAAGTCGCCCTGCGCGTCGCTGCAGCCGAGACTGCTCGACACCAAGCTGAGCTCGATGCGGCCCGTGCTCGCGAAGAGATCAAACGCTATCAGATGCAGTACGAATCGGCTGAGCGAGAGCTGCGCCGAGTTGAAACAGAGCTCCAGAAGACTGATAGGACGAGGAAAGATGCTGAACAAAGTGCTGCCGATGCGAGAGACGTTGCGCGGAGAGCGCAACAGGCATTGCGCGAGCACCAAGTCAGGGAAGAGGGAAGGGAAGAAGGGCGTCGGCTAGAGGTACGGAGGAGGTACAATGATGGGCGAGAGGACGGCTTCGAGGACGGACGAGCAGAAGGCTTCGAAGCGGGTCATTCTGAAGGGTTCGACGAAGGTCGGGCGGAAGGCTATGCAGCCGGTCGATCCGATGGACATAGTGCTGGCCGTCGAATTGGCTTTGATGAGGGCCGTAAGGTCGGGTTGGAAGATGGGTACGCGGAAGGTTTCGAGGAAGGCCGGAAGGAAGAGCGCAAGCGCGCTCTCGATGCCTTCGACAAGTTCATGGATTCAGAAGCTGGCCGTCAGAGTTTCATATCTGTCACAACGGTGAGCCCATAGAGTATTCATACCTGCGCGAGCTGATCTCGTGGCCAAGTAGGATACGACGCGCACTCAGCGGTGGGTGGAAGCGACCAGTCGAGTGCAGGAGCGCGAGCCAGAGCCCCTCCCAGTGCGAGTCCCTGGCTCGTCATCAGAGCCAACGTTGGCACCTCCACCACCAGAACCGCAGCCAGAACGAGAACCGTCGCCGCAACCAGTGAGGGTGCCCTCACCTACACCCATACCCGTCTGGCTGCATCGCCGACTAAATACGACCCAGGACGGCCCCGGCGATCCATCTTCCTCCCGGACACTACCTCGCTTGTACGCATGATTGTTGGAACTGCTCTCCCGGAGACACTGTACTGTAACTGAAGTCGTGCTACGATTGTATGTATTATCAATAGATTCTAATTTAAAGTAGATTAGAAATCGAGCCATCTCTAGGCGTCTCGGGCGTATCATGGAAGATAGATGCTCAGATCATGAGGAATCGCCATCTACAGGCGTGTCATATACTCCTTCCACTGATCAGGTACTTCGTCATGACGAGGACTTTGCATGGCACAGCACGCAGGCTCGCTGACTTGAGGACGACATTACTCCGCAGATACATGCGCGACGGGTCAAATGATGCATCGATGATGGAGATCTGGGTTGGATGATGAAGGTTTCATTGTGAAAGATATCGAGGCGTCTGAGACTCAACAGTCTACTACTTCCTGCCCATCCTCACTGTCAACATTCCGTCCCATTTTTCAGAAGTGTTGCACATCCAACTTTCCCAGATATTGCTAGCATGAACGTATCGCTTCCACCGACCCCCCTCTCGCCCAGCGTCGGTGCTCGTCGCAAGGGTGCCAAGCCTCTGCCCCGTCTCCCACTGTCCGCGTTTACGCCCCCCAACACGGGCACGTCGGATGCGTTTCCCCTCCCCCCCAGTCCAAGCACGCTGTTGCCGAAGGATCTCATCGACGCATATGTCATCTCCTCGGAAGGCGATCTGAGTCAGTGGAAGAATCAGGCGGGGCCCACTGTCAATGGTATCGCGAAAGGCGTCGTATTGTCTTTATCGGACAGAAAGTCTGAAGATGTGGAGATGGTCCTGGAGCGGTATGTGTTGCTTTGAGTACTCTCTGCCCGCACTGATTGGGGATTTGTAGCATCCGATCAGGAGCTTTCGAGGTACCTGTGGTCGCCATCTTAGTACCCATCGTAGATGGAGACGACGACACCCAGTTCAGTCCACCATCATATCTCGTCTCTGCCAAAGGATCAAATCCGCCCCTCGTCCCGTCCGTAGTATTTACTGGAAACGAGTCAAAAGTACGAGAGGCTCTTCAATGGGCTCTAAGGGAAGAGTTCGTCGTGAACATCGACGTCCAAACCGACATCCGGGCGACGGAGGGAGGCTGGGACACTCTCGAAGAACTGCTCACGAGCATCACAAACAGGGAACAGTCAGCGGAAGTCAAAGGCAAAATTGTTGTTTGTAAGTATCGCATTCAAATATTGCACAAGCAAAGCTGAGCTATCTGCAGCGAACATCCTGCCCCCTCCGGATGATCTTTCATTGCCCATTGTGAAGCTGCTTACGCACACATCATACCGCAACTATCAATCGCACACCGCCGCACTCTCCCTGTTTGGAAACGTGTTCGTGAACTATCTTCCTCCTGCATGGGGCGACTCTGTCCCGTCATCTTCCCCCGAAGGCCAGAAGCAGCGTGCGGAGTGGAAACGTAGGATCAAGATGTACAGTGCGTACCGCATCTTTGTTGCCTTAATCATGTCTCTAACGTTTGTGTCGCTGTGGTCGAGCAGTCAGCCCAGTGCTTGAGGCTTTCGGTTATCAGCGGATAGTGTTCGGCTCTTCTCCTTCGTATGCTGTCAAGGTATCGTCAAAAGCGAGCGATTGGTACGAACTTGCTCGTGAATCGTTCGCCGAACTGGGCATCGAACAGGAAGGCATCGACGCAATCTTCTACGGTAACGCTAAACTCGTCTACGGCTCATAGTGTGGGCAGCAATCCTGTGCTGGTCTAGACCGTGAGTTTTTGGGATATTCAATTTGATGCAGAGAGAAGCTACCAGAGGAACAATCCGGGGATCGATGTACTGATGAGTAGGGGATTGACTCGCGGAGAGGGATCGTATGTATGTACATGTAAATTATGAAAACAATTCGACGCGCGTACCTCTAGATTTGAAAGGTAGCAGTCGTTCGCAAAGTCGTCTGTGATTCGGTACGCGCTGTGCCCTCGCATGACAACTGTCAAATGCTCAACGAATTGCTGACCAACCTCATGAAATTGTCATGGTGTCAACCTGTCTCTGCCTGACAGAGCGAACAATGGATATAATAGTATACATCCTAGGTATCCTAAATCATGCTGCAGGTATATGCGTGGCCATCAGAAGGTACAGTATGGGTATCTCAAGTGGAGAAGTACACTTGACAGTGATAGAAGCATAAGAAAAACAACAAAAAAACAAAACAAAAAAAACCTTACAGCCCGTCATCACTCCACTGCACAAGCTACTCACGAATCACCACGCTGCTTTGAAGCCTTAGCACGCTATCTATTCTGCTGAAGGACTTGTTACAAGATTCGCATGGGACGGCCTGAGACTCTTGCTTCATTTGAGAGCTAAGCACAAGTTTTAGGCTCGAAATAGGGTTTGGCCTTCAGCATTCTCTCCTGCACTTATGTGCGCACGGGCAACCTGAATATCAGTGTGGCATCGTTGTATGTCAACAAACTTGAAATGAACTTGAAAAGCGCACAGCCACACTTGTCCTTGGAATTGGCATGCTGCTTTCTCGACGGCCTTGGCTAAACGCAGTAGCAGTGTCGTATGCTGTGTATTCGAAGTATACAGGGCCTGCCTGAAACTCAGAGTAGTCATCAGTAGCCATATCTGGGCCGCCTGTGTCATTGGTAGATCGTATTCCCAACGCGCTTTTCATGCCGCCAACGTTCAACAGGTCAAAACGCCAAAGTACTAGGCAGCGTAGGAGTTCGGATGAATATAGTGCCAGTAGTGGGTCCAAACAGTTCTTTCCGTTGGGCCTGAGATTCAAAACCTGTCCTTTCTTGGGGCTCGATCACCGGACTACGGTTGAATGCAAGGGGGGATGTGCTGGAACTCGCCGGCTGCCACAGTTTCGAATATGTACTGAGTACAGGCTCACCAGACGTTTGAGGTCTCACCCCACGGGGCATTTTTTTGGATGATATTGTGACTGGTCGCAGGTATTACACCAGGGGTCTCAACAAGAACGCACCGGGCTGAAATTCTGTCGGCCTGACGCCCCAGATCGTAAAGATACGGAAATGTGGTCTCGTGCCCAGACAATGCCCAGACGTGGAAACGTGAGAATGGGCAAGCAGGAGATTATCAAAATGTCTCGCATGCCCTTCGAGGAAGTTCCGAGCTCCAAGCCGGGGCGAATGTATGAGTATAACGGTGGCCGCGGTGCTGCCACTATGCTGCCGAGGATGTGCCACGTCCTCGGCAGCATGCCAATAATGATATTGCCACCGTTATGCGGTCGACATGTAGAGACAAACCACAAATGATTCAGGACACTAAACATCACAAACACATCCATTCATCCAACCTGAGGCTCCCCATTAAGTCCGGGCCTCTGGACTCTGTACTTCGTACATACCGAGAGGGTCACCGGAAGTAGAAGCTGCTTAGAGTTTGGCTAGACCACTGGCAGAAGTTTGGACATAGTAGATTTCCCAATGGCGGCTAGATTTTACCGCACATCCGCATTCCAAGTTTGTCTAAGGCCCGCTGCCGCGAGTAGGTATGCCATGATGTCGTGATATAGATCCAAAACATTCGGACCTGACAGTCACTAGTACTTAGACTCCAAGCTTGGTCCAACTTGTTACATAAGTAAGGCCCTGAGTGATGTACAGCTCGGGTCGATTCGATGCGGGATATGATTTGAAAGCTTCAAGTGATCCTTCTCAGGCTTGACCATACGAGCATTGCTGTGATGAATCCCTAGCCTACAGATCGTGTGTACATTTGAACGAACTTATATTACGTCATGATCCATTCAGTTCGCAGATGTTTGCCTGGCATCATGTCAAATTTTTCAATCTAGAGGTCACCTCCAACACATCGTCTTTATCATTGTCCGGATTTCACGCGGTTGGGCTTCCATAGGATTTCTAGTCCAGTGCGGTCTCATGTGAGCTTGGATGCATGCTTCATCACACGTCGTGACTCAGTGAAACTGCAGTTCGAATTTTAGTTTCAGTCGACCAACATATTGCATTGCAAGTCCAACTCTGAACCTGGACTGATAGAACTTCTTGTATCGGCATCTACAGGTTAACGGCATGTGGCTTGAGCAAAACGAATGCAGAGATTCACTCGGAATTCTGACTCCTTTGCATTGGCCAATTCTAGGTCCGTGACAGTGATCAGGATGTAGTTCTTCGTCTTCGAGATTTGCGGATACTTTACGAACGGTGGCGTTAGGCTCAGTGACTGACCCGCTTCGATCCGTTACGAAGTCCAAGGGTCCGACTTTGGGGTTAGACCCAGAACAGATGGCCCCAACGGATAGGGAGGCTTCAAATTGAGCGAGATAGTGCACTGCTTCGAAAGGTCCGTAAGTGGTTCGAGTACGAGTCTATCAACTTGAATGCATTATGATATAGTACCAAATGCTAGATTGGATAAGGTCTACATAGCGAACCGAATTCGGGTAGACGCGGGACTCCTTATACCCGGCGAATATGCTCTCAGACTAGCTACAACAATGACACCCCGTTGTGGTGTAACGTACCATCAGAGCTTGGCTTTTTTGTAAATTCCCTCACACACGCTTTGCACACGCTGGTAACTTCTTGAGCTCTGCGCGTAAGAGGTGCGAACCCCTGACTGCCATGACTTGACATGATACCAAGATATCAATGATGACTCACCCGATGGTTCGCAACTATGTCAGATAATCCTAGAATTTTAGCTTCACATGATCACTCTCAGCTAGGTACAAGGCATTCTGCTTACTATATATCCAAAATCTTCTGCGCTTCCGTTCTTGATGCATTCGGTCTTCTGCTGGCCGTGCAGCTGCTTTCATGTCCCACGAAAATGACACTATCATGATCAGAGAATCTCGCGGTCTATTAATTTCCGGATCCTTATATAGAGAAACGATCCTAGATTGTATAAGGTTGCGTCGCCACATTCCACAGTCTCTCCTCTAGTTGCACAAACCCAGCCGGAATGTTCTCCGACAGCCTCGAATATGAAGAAAGGTATGTAAGGCTTTACTCGTTCGTTGTCGCGAGTCACGTTACGCATATTATATGTCGTAAATCTAAATCCTTCCAGGGTATGCAAGTCGTTCGTCGCCCCCAATATTACCTATAAGGAGGTCCGCGACTCTGTGCCCAAGCATCTTCTAGTCAAGAATGCGTGGGTTTCGACATACTACTATGTTCGCGACATTGGCTGTTGCATTGCATTCTTTTACTTTGCGGCCTCCATCGAGTGGATCGTCACTAGTGGAATTTGTGATTATATCCCCTTGCTAGGACTTGTGAAGATGAGACTTGTGAAGGGGTTATTGTGGGTAACGTATTGGTGGATGCAAGGACTTGCGTTCTCAAGTTTCTTCTTTCTCGGTAAGCGACGTAGTGTCATGTGTCATGTTTACAGCCGAGCTGAACTAGATGTCTTCATGCAAAGGGCACGAGGTGAGGTTCTGCATGTCGAGTCGTGCCGGATTATATGCTCATATACTCTCTCAGCTCGGACATCAATCCTTGTACAACTCAGGGTATGCGAATGATATTCTAGGCTATTTTCTCCACTCTGTATGCCATATTTCTACTTCTGTATTCGTTGGTGAAATAAGTATCAAATTTTACCACAGTTCATCTTATCCCCGTTCTTCGCCTGGAAATCAAGTCACAACACGCATCATGTTAGTCTTTTAATACTCACTGCACAATGTCTCACAAGACAATTTCAGCGCACAGTGGGGTCTGTCGAACGGGACGTCAACTACGTTCCACATGGACGGAGCCGATACAATTTGCCACCGAGGGCTCAATCGACTACCAAAGACTTCTTGGATGTTTTTGACGAGGCACCCATCTTTACATTAATGCGATTGCTTTTCATGCAATTTGCGTAAGTGTTTAAGATGACCGTATTCAAGAACGTATTCACCTATACCATCTTCACCAGCGGTTGGTGGCTATACCTTACGTACGAAAAATTCATTCAATGTAAGCCTAAGAGTACACAATTGATGCTTTCCACACAGGATCAACTCTATGGGATGCAAAAAATACCTAAATTCCAGCCATTTTTCGCCACGTTCTCCCATTTTCCGCCCTGATGAGCGTACGTTTAGGACTTCAGGGACGTGTAGAGGTGCAACTCACTATGTGAGCGACATAGGGATGGGAATTGTGTTATCCGACCTCGGAGTTCTTGGAATGGGATACGTCTTGTACTGTATGATCGGGATGTACGGTTTGAAGACGGTCACTGCTTACTACTTTATTCCGTTCATGGTGCGTATGCTGCTTATTGGATATTGTGGTCTAAATCTTCGTGTGCTTCGCACAGTTCTGCAATCATTGGTGAGTGGACTGCGTTTCGTCAACCAATGGAACGCGCCGATGAATTTACTCGACTTCATTAGGATAGGTAACTTTCGACGCATAGCTGCGCTAGACCTAATAGTAATCTAAAATTGACCATTGGCCTCTTACTTGGCAGTGATGGTCACATTTCTGCAACACTCGGATCCCACTGTGCCACATTACCGCAAGCAAGAGTGGACTTGGATTCGAGGAGCAATCGCGACAATAGATCGACCCCTTCTTGGTGGCATGGGACGGTTCTTCATGCATAATGTGCGTGGCATTTTGGATTCTTGAACCTAATTATTAATGTCCATATTAACGATAATTATATAGGTCGTGCATTGCCACGTAGCACACCATTTATTTGCCCATGCTCCGTTCTGTAAGCAACCTTGAATACATACAGCTTGCTGAAATGATCAAAGCTGAATGTAAGATCACCGCAGATAATCTACCAGAGATTACAGAGTGTATTCGTGGTGTTCTGAAAGACCATTATGTATATGATTCAACGGTACGCACCGCTTTTGATTGAACTTTCCGAACTGACTCTTCCATGTTCGGGATATAGAATTCATTTTACGCGCTTTATCGTTCGTTTACGCAATGCCTTTTCATAGAGGACGAGGACGTCATTGCATTTTACAAAAACAAATATGGGGAGTCTGTGCGAGAAGCAGAATCACAGTCAAAGGTCTCTGATAAGCAGTGCAAACAAGAATGATAGGTTAACCAGAATGATCGGCAACAGAGCGAGGGCTGGGATACCTGATGCATATGAAGTTAATGCCTTGTGATTCATGTATAACCCATGTAGATTGGCCATATCGCCCAGCAGTCTGAATTACTTAGTCGCGACAGGAGCACATGGATGGAAGAGAATTTAAGGAGCCTCGGTAACAATCTCTGGCTGATTGGCACGCTATTAATTAGCCTCCGCTGCTAACCGTGCACAGGCTGAAAGATGTTTCCATATGCGGTCTGAGACAAAACGGAACGAGTCCAAGCGACAGGGACAGCTGTAGAGACGCACCGCGGCTAGCAGAGACAGTTACGCGCAAATACGGAGGGCATGCACTAAGTGAGGTCACGCAGCAGACGGCAGGGGTAGGACAATCTGTAGAAAGGGAGATGGTGCCTTTGAAGCTGCATTCGACGTGCGCCGAGTGCCCAAAAAATATAAGTTAGCATGGAGGTGAGAGTGTTGCCAAAATCATTTTCAAAATGGCCGCGGTCACGTGCGGAAGATGTCTCAGACTGCGACTTGACTTTCACGAGCTTGCTAATTTCTGTCACCCGTGTTCCTTACCCTCAACGTCCATCTTGGGTTTGTACGGCGAACTTGATTCGCACCATGTCTTCTAATGGAGAACGTGATCCTCTCCTCGGACTTGCGGGCGAATCAAACCTCGCCCGCGACACCAATCTCGGGGACCTTGCCGCTAAGGATGAGAAGAGGCACCGGGCGACGAAAGTCCGCGCAGTTGTCTATGGCGTCCTCACTGCTGCCTTCATCGCTGGCGTCATATCTATGGCGCTACTGTGGAAGAAGATGGGACGTGATGATATTGTGCTCCCGAAAGACCCGCAGGAGGCTGCCCAGAGAGTACTGGATATTGCCCCTGTGATTGTATGCAATCCATCGATGTTCGTGGTATTTTCCCAGCTGACCATTCTTTTAACAGGACGGGCACATAGGTGCGTTACTGTAAGAGCAACTGAAGTACGCATACCTGAATCATTGGTCCCTAGATCTTCCGGAATACGCTCGAACGACTTACGCCAACAATATCTCTGCCTTCGACCTGAACGGAGTCGTCTCCAAGCATGTGGATATACCCCGCCTACGGAAGGGCAGAGTAGGGGGGTTCTTTTGGTGAGCCGTATCGTGTATTCCTGGTAGCAAATTCTCATTAATATTGCAGGTCGGTTTACACTGCTTGTCCCGCCCACGCCGACCTTGATGATGGCGAGGATTTCATTAACGCAACTTGGCGAGTACGGTGAGCCCAGTCCATAAAAGGTGCTTCAGTGCGCACATAGTGACGATTCTTGCCAGAGACACGCTTGAACAGATTGATGTATCCAAATTGCTTATTGAGAAGTACTCTGACGTGCGTTTTGCATGCCTTTCTGTTACGATACAAATAATTATTTATTTAACACTAACATGCTACCTCCAGACGTTCGAGCTCGCGCTCACCTCGGAAGATGCCAAGTCTGCTATCAGCAGGGGGAAGATTGCTAGTATGCTTGGCGTTGAAGGGTGAGTTTTCTTTTTGCTTAAAGCTGTTATTCCTGATGATGTTTCGTAATAGTGCTCACCAGCTAGGGAATTCACTTGCTGTGCTGCGCCAGTACTATGATCTCGGTGTGCGATACGCCACATTGACCCACATGTGCCATAATGCATTTGCCGATTCCGGCGGATACCTGGTCCCAATGGAACCCAAATGGGGTGGACTGAGGTGTGTTTTCAAAACTATTTCCACATCGCCCTCGTGTGTGAACCATCATCCCAAGTCCCCTTGGACGTGTTCTCGTCAAGGAAATGAACCGATTGGGCATGCTTGTTGATCTCAGTCATACATCGGACGATACAGCGAGGCAAGCGTTGGAAATAACAAAGGTGGGCGTTGGATCGTTTTACCTATACACAGCACGATCATCTCATTTATCTTAAGGCTCCTCTCATCTGGTCTCATTCTTCTGCTCGTTCAGTGCACAACGTCGCGCGGAATGTGCCTGATGACATTCTAGAGAAGATTGGAACTACAGAAGGCAAAGTGGATGCAGTTATCATGGTATGTATGTTTTTGATGAGTCCATTCGCATCATTGACCGTATCGTTCAGGTCAATTTTGCGCCACAGTTTGTTGCAAAGCCCGGGAAAGCTACTCTTCATGTTGTTGCTGATCATATTGAATACCTCGCAAACAGGATGGGCAAAGCTCAGTGCGTATTTCACACACAATCTCAATTACTCACGCCCGCTAAAATGCGATACAGCGTTGGACTTGGTAGCGACTATGACGGCATCGACAGTGTTCCTGAGGGACTCGAAGATGTTTCGAAGTATCCGGATCTAGTGAGCAATCATATTAAATCGTATAATCAGATATATGCCTTCTAAGACCTCCATATAGATTGCCGAGCTATACGCCCGAGGATGGACCGGCTATGAGCTTGCGGGCCTCACGGGGCGCAATGTCTTGCGCATCATGGAGGGTGCTGAGCGAGTAGCTGCGGAATTGAAGGCAAGCGGAGCGCAACCCGCTATGGAACTGTATGACAAGAGAAACGATCTACCTCAAGGATCTCTGAAGGCTGAGTTGTAAGAAACGCAGATAGAGCGTGGTCGTCGTGCTGCATGATATGGTTGCCCATTTGATATACCAATGCTTCATATTGTTTTGTACCGTCGCGCGAGATCTTGTTCAGCTACTTTTCCCTTTCAGCATCGGGAGACAATATCTAATTTCTTTGCGGACGCGGCATCGTGTTATTGTTGATGGTGTGCTCGCTGTAACTTAATTATCTTCGTCGACGCCATTGACGAATAAACCATCGAGGCCATGGATGAGGTTAGGGTTGGAGAACATTTACAGGAAAGACGGATGCGCGCGTTATTACAGCCAGTGATATGAGCAAAGATGCGGTGAGTTGAGTGAAATGAACATTTGTAGCAATACTGCTGCAATTACGTCAGTCTACATCGACAGGATTCCAACTAATTGCTCCATCGTTGCCCTTATCCAGTGCGTCCAGCTCAGACATGTCTCCTTCCGTCAAATGAAAGTCATACAGTGCCGCGTTCGAGTAGATGCGAGCAGGCTGGGATGATTTCGGGAGAGGCACGAACCTGAATTCAAGAGTGATGTTACAATTAGCTTCTCGGAGATGATCTGGACGTGATTTGTTGACTTCATGCGTACCCGTGCTGGAGAGACCATCGCAAAAGGATCTGCGCAGGGTCCTTGTTGTACTATGTAAATAAGATAAGTAGACTTTGAGAGAGACGTCAAGAGGATGTAGTAAGGAATGACAGACCTTACGGGCTACACCAAGGATGACGGAATTGTCTAGTCGCCCGCGGACGATGGGACAATAGGCCTGTATTATTATCGAGTGCGCCTTGCAGTAGTTGACAATGGGCTTCTGTTGGCAGAACGGATGCAGCTAGAACATCAAGCGGAGAGATGAGTTACTAGACGACGGAAGATCAAGCCTGATGCACTTCGATCTGGTTTACGGATGGCAATTCATAGCCTGCAGCGACGATCTCTTCGAGATGTTTAGCAGAGCTGGATATATGATACAAAATTGAAAGCGTGTCAATTATGGTTATAATTGGTGCGTGAAGTCATACTAATTGGAGACCCCAACACTGCGTATTTTTCCCTGTCGTTTTGCCTCAAGGAGGGCCTTATAAGTCTCAAGGCGGAGCTCTGACCCGGCCTTGGGATCATGTATGAGATATAAATCAATATAGTCTGGTAATAATTCAGTAAATATAGACGCGCAAATATGAACTTGAGTATACCGAGGCCCATATCATTTAGCGAAGAATCAACAGTACGGATTGTGTTATCGAATCCATGGATGGCACTATGGATCTTCGTAGCTAATGATGACGTAGTCAGCCAAATGGGAATCTGAAGACTCGTATAATAGAGAACGCACTAACGAACAAGTCATCCCTCTTGAGCCCGCTCGCCTCAATCGCTTCACCCACCTCAATCTCATTTCGATAAGATCGAGCTGTGTCGACATGGCTGGATGTTGACGATTACCATCACATCATGCAACCAACAATAATTGAATTGTGTACCGATATCCAGTTTTAAATGCTTCTAAAAGGGCCGGCTTGGTGATTATCTTGGTGTCTATCGGCTTGTCAAAACCATATGCAACACCGAAACCGAGCATGGGCATTGTAAAACCTGTTGTGAAGATATATCAGATGTTTATTGTAAATTCATCACCAATGAGTTATATGCGAGGCTATGTCATTGTTCAGCCACATCTTTGGAAGCACTGTGCCAGTGATCCAAATAGAAGTAGAAATGTATCCACACACCAGATGACAGCTTAACGGTTGTGTCAATCTTGAGAGTAGCCATGTTAAATGTACTGAGTCTGAAGCTCAAGAATTGCCCAGTGTTAGACCACTAGAGTTCTACATGATCAAGGCGAGATTGCGGCCACTGAGTAAGCAGCCGCAGCAAATTGTTCCCGTGTACAATTAAGGAATGACGTCATCGAGCGGGCAAAATCTAATGATGCATTATAGACTGAAGGGTGGATAGCAATTATCAAAGCAAGTGCAGTACTATACATCCAACATACCTCTACGAATACTATATTAGGGCAAAATTTCACGGTAGGTTACGTTTCGGGTATGAGTGTGGCCTGGCCGAAGACGAACCATAGCATGTGTCCGATGTCTGATGCGAGAAAGCGCAGTGTAGAGCTGACCATGCGAGAATACAGGTCGAGTGAGATCGACACCGACAACATCAAGGGTCAACCCTTGGCAGCTATTAAATGTCGTTGCGTAGGCTGGTGATAGTGGGAACTGCCGACGCACGAGAGTGTGCCCAGACTCGAGCGGCGTTGTAAAAGATATCCGTGAGATGAGTATGTCTTCTGCATCCAAAACACTGACACCAGCGAGGCCCCTGAGAATACGGACGGTGATGATTCGCTTGCCTAGAGATTTGATGACCACCCGCGTATTTTTCACAAGTCCTCTATCGGGGGCGTAATTGCACATCAGCCGGTATACGCCGTTGGCCTTCACGGTGAGTCCATGAGAAGGAACACCTGGTAGAGGCATTCGCTCCACGTTCTTAAGCACGGTCTCTGGGGATACACCATCGATTTCTTCATCCTCCTTTAGCGAATCAGCGCTCTGATACGTGCGTTGGACACCGTCGATTCGACTGAGGATTTCTTCGTTATACTCATCTACCTGATCATTCGTCGGTGCAAGGATAGCGCGTTTGAGACATTTGACTGGGTCCGCTAGTGTTGTTTGAGGATAAACGAAATCTATCAATTCGTCTCTGTGGCTTACTTTCCCCAACATGTCAAGAGGGACATGGGGACCAGCCCCATCACCAATAGAATCGACAAACTCGGCAAAAGGCATGTCCTCGGCATTGCGAACAGGTTGTGTGAGTCGATATAGGGAAAATTGCCGCCACAAGGGAGATGATAGAATGGAAGCATTGACAATTTGTCGCCTTGTGCCATGCCGGATGACTGGACATGTTTGCCGGAAGTCGCCAAGGAGAACAACAACCTTGCCACCGAAAGGGAGATCGTTGCACATAACTCTTCGACATGTTTCTTCCACACATTTAAGTACAGAGCTCTTCGCCATAGGTGCCTCGTCCCATATGATGACAGCTGCTTCGCGAATGAGCTCTCCACGAGGGTCGTGTGCTTCAATAGGAGATTCCAGATCAACAATTTCGTCATCAACTGGTACCTAATAATAATTAAGATGGGACTCATTGGCAACAACAGAGCAAGACTCATTCACCTTGAATGTCGAATGCGTCGTTTTCCCTCCCGGATACAACTGTGAAGCAAAGCCAGACGTAGCGGTTGGTAAAACAATCCGCCCCAGAGATCGTAGCTTGTTGCATATGGCGTTTACTAAGAATGTTTTCCCCCGTCCTGCTTTCCCATCTACAAAAGCGCACAATGGTCGTCCATCATCGACAGCATCCAAAATCTCCGAGTATACCTGATATTGCTCTGCATTCAGCTTCGCCGTAGCTTTGGCAGCGCGTGTAGCCAAAAACTCGCGATCCTTCCACTGAGCGAACTCTAGCTCGACTTCACGACTGTGAAAAGCCGGTTCTGGCAGCCCATAAACCCCTAAGGACTTCCCATGCTCCTCGAGCGAACGACCAATCTCTTCTAAGGCTTGGTTCACACCAATGTTGATGTTATCGCTTCGTACAATGTGGTCTAGCGCGAAGGCATCCTGGAAGGTATGCCAGGTGGATATGGGCGAGCGAACGCAGGAGTTGACTAGGAGATGAACAAAGAATAGACGCAGCTGCCGAGGCGTCTTTAGTGTTCGCACAGCTTCCTTCAACGCATGTTCCGCTTTGAGGTCGTCCGCGGTCAGACCTAAGCTATTAGATGGCTCCTGTGGTTTTGGGCGCAGAAATCCGAGCTCCACCAAGTCGGGTGGGGAATTTTGAGGAACTGGAAAAGCACTGTGCGTGGCATAACAGCAGTGCTGGCCTTTTAGATTGTTTCTATGACGCTGAGATGCGACTAAGTTGACAGAGGGTGGAAAGGGGGATAGCGCATCAGCGGCAAGCAGCAGAAAGAAATTTCGATGTTTACGCATTGCGTAAACATCGACGACACGCACAAATTTTCAAGGGACTTGTTCTGGCTGGGCTACCAGTTTGGTAGCAAGAAGCAACTCTGCCCAGAGTCGATTTGAGCATAGTTGGCAGAGCAACGAGAGGGCGAAAATGTGGCCTAAGTGGGGAGGATTTGGAACCGCTCAGCCTTCAGCACCGTGTATCGATAGCACGCAATGGGTATCATGCATGGCAAGAAGCTTGTAAATGAAAAGCCTTCGCCATGCAGGCGGAACAAAGTACGGAGAAACCGAGCTTTGAATATTTAATTTGGTGCTATTCATACGATCACGTGGACCGCGCTCGTCGCGTCCTACCAGTAGCACGCGTCGACTCGACTCGCGCATGAGGTTCCATATAAACAGGGAAATCATCCGGCACCGTGATCATACTGTAGCGGCGATGCTTTGTCGCAGACAAGCCACGAGTCGGTCACAAGTCACGAGTCGGTCACTGAATACGTTGGATGTAAGTTTTTTTGGTGAAACTGGTGACAGATCTTATGTCAACAGCTTCAGTTTGTTGACGGACTTCTGTTGGTGTAGCGAATTTCACTTCTCAGCTTCACAAAGCTAGATAAGGAGCTGGGTAGTTAATGATACTGGGCGGACTACCTCAACGCAGCTCACAGCCCGGCCCTTTTATGAATGCGTTCCACAGTGATAGCCCTCAATCATCCTCCTCAACATCCCCATACTCGAAAATGCCCAATCGCTCTCTCTTGGCCGCGTTCACCGCCTCCTGCAAACTCTTCACAACACTAGGATACGCAGACAAGTAGCGGCAACTCTTTCGATCTATCGTTGCAAGTCCCTCGCGCAGGAGATCGGCGTTGATGGACGCGAATTTGTCCTGTTGCACAGCGGGATCGGTGGGATCGATCAGCCGTAGGTGCAAGAGAGAGCCCTCTCGTTGGTCAGTGTTGGCAACCAGCTTGCGGCCCTCACATAGCGCGCGGAACCGTTCGATAGCCTCCGCGTGGTGCTCGCTCTCTTCGCCGACCAGCTTCACAAAGCTGACCATTTGCGTAAATAAAGATTTCTCATCAAAATAACCATAGCTCACCTGAGTCGTGCATCATGGGCTTGGCCAGGTAGCGATCGGAATTTGGGATCCAAGGGTCGGATGTTGGCGAAGCCGATCGTATCTTGGTTGCCGTAGTCGATGAAGGTCACTTCCGCTTCCTTCTTGATAGGCGATGCACGCCGCACTTTGGCACGGTACCACGATCCATCGGAGAACTTTGCGGAGACCAAGTCACCCCCCTTGGGGACGAACCCTGGCGCTGCTGTGCTACCTTGGTGGTGTAGTGAGAAGTCTCGCATGAGTTTCTCGAGCGAGGCAATTCCTATCAGAAGCCAGTTTCAGCACAAAGCGGCCTACGTTAACGAGTTGTGGCGAACCTTCCGTGTTCAGTATCTGGACCGAGAAACTGAACCCGTTCTTCGTCCGTACGTCACTGACGATAACGTCGAGGTACTCCGGTTTAAGGGCTTCGTTGTCCATTTCTTGTGGAACTTCCTGAACCTTTTCGGCCTCTTCGTCATAGTCCTTCCAGATCTGTTACACTGTCAGACTCCTTCGACCAAATTACATCAAAATGTCTGACATTACGGCCCTCCCGCTTCGCTTCTGACTACGTACGACAATGGAACGCGTCAAAACGGGCATTTTTGTACATCGGACATAGACTTTTACCTCAGCATCGTACAATTGGCGCACCCATGACAGACCATCTGCTGAGTACGAGTGGACAGTGGCAAGACCTTCTCGTACGAGCGCAATCGCGGCGTTCTCTGTTTTGTTCACATACAATGCGCCGATGAAACCACCAGATTTATCAACGTCATGGATCTCGATTTCAACATCGCGCTGCATGTATCGCCGGGTCGCAAAGTCGTATGCTTCGGGCCCGTATGCTTCGCTTTTTTCAGAAGGGTTCCGAGCTGTTCGAGGTGCGCGAATGCCTACAGAGCTTTGTGAAGCTACAACTGGTTACATCTCAAGAAGCTGAACTCACCACTGAGAACGAGCGTCAGGACTTGGTTGTCTTTTGGTAGGAAAACTCTGTAGATAGAATGTTACACGATGCACGGAATTTCGTCAGTTTGGATGCTTACTTGAACCGGGAACCTGCGGCAACATAGTCAACGACAGCTGGGATTCTTCCTGTCCGTTTGAAGCCATTGATGAAGGGTGCGGCGCGATTATGTGACTAAAGAAATTGAAGAAATATGAGGGCTGTGTGAACACGCTGGGACGAGAGATGGAGAGATTACATCCGAGAGGTTGAGTGGCTGCTTGGGCGGAGGAAACTCCTTGCCGGAGTGAATGCCACGCGATTCGGCAACTGCACTACAAGGTCGTCAGGAGCATTAGACGCGTTCTCGATTTGAAGAATACATACGTTTGTTCAGCGGCCATGAGTTTATCGAAGTCGGGAGATCGGTCTTCATCGTCACGCTTATGCCGGACTACACTGGCAAGGCCTTTCTCAATGAGTTGCTCGGCGATGTTCCTACACGTGACAGTTATGATCCACGAGTCAAGAAAATGTTACTGCAACATACGAATTTTGGCTACCATGTCGGATAGTTGCACACTCCCGCTCCTCATACTCACCATCCCTAGGGCGAATGAAATCAACATGAACCTTGACATGTTTGCCAATGAGCCGTCTCCTAAGGAATTCGCGGGCTTCGTGAGCGTAATAGGCTTGTTTAGGATCAGAAAGCCTGTGGGAGATCCCCAGCTTTAGTATTCAATTATCCACTGATAGAAACGAGCATTACTTAGGCCCCCGTGTAGAGCTCAGCTGCAATCTGCGCTCCTTTCCAGACTCCTTGTCAACTACAGAGAGCTGATCGCCTGTCCATACACGGACGACAGTTGCGTCGAACGCTCGGGAGCTTCCATTGACAGCTACGCTGTTCGTTTTGGTAGAAGTAGTCGGCAGTTTCTCGTACAAATACTTGCGTTTCTCCTTGGCGGCTTTCTCTGCAGCACGTATACGCTCCATTTGACCCCCGCTCGCAAGCATGCCGGCGTGCCAGTCGACGACCCGTGCGAGACCCGCGGTAACCAGTGCTTCTGCGATGCTACCTGCTGGATGGAGAACTGAAAATCAAATCATGCATGAACGTCCTAGCACTAGGGTCACTTCAACAAGGGCACCGTACCTGTGCCGATAAAGATGGTCGCTGTGGGAGGCGCAACAGCATTGGCGCTGGCTTGGAAAGGCGTAGCAGTCGAGCTGGGGAGAGACAATAGCTGCACTCGGACGAATCTCTGCAAAAGGCGGACTTCAGTGAAGTACTTGGCCTAACATACAAATCATCCTGTCAATTTCAACAAATTCATGACTGGATAGATGGAGAACAATGCATGCTCACCTCTTCAGCCCACGGCTCTGATTCTTCATCCGGTTTACTGGAGACACGTGCACAGCGGACACCAGCGAGCGCGAGGTTGATGAACTGGTGATCCCCCTCGGGCATGAACAGTCGAACGCGCAGGGTTGAGCCGTCCTTGACTTGCTCAACAAGGGCTAGGATGAATCAACAGTCAATGATCAATTCATCTTACGACCTTTACAACTTACCTTCCAGCGATTTGCCCTTCCATTCTGACATGAAACCTTGCGAATCCGTAGGCATCATGTAGTGGACCGTACGCGCCTTCCTGTGTTCAGCCTCGGCGCTGGGCATACATATGATACTTAGTGCTTACCTTTTGACCATGCGGATTCCAGACACCTTTACCGGCCGCTTTCGCTTCCGCCTCCAGGTCACGTCTACGAATGTCATCCTCCGTTGGGTCGCGTTTGAGTTCTTTCATCTTAGCCCAGCCGTTCCGGAGCAGCTCCCCCGCAACGTCTACGCCATTCATATCCGCATAGCCGATGTCGCGTGAAATGTCGTCGTTCGGCGAGAGCGAGTGTGCAACAGTGAATGTAATGGGTTTGCCTACAGTGAGCGTACGCAAGAACTCGCGCGATTCAAATGCCCAGTCCTAGATTAGTACAAATCGCGATTAGATGTCAAAAGGGGGAGAATCAACAAGAATAATTGCACCTCATCTTCTCTCGTGGACGATCCCACACGCGGCGCTAAGATGTCGGCAAGATGAAGGACGCTGAGTGACAAGGAAAGAGCGAGTCCAAGTGGTTAGCTTAATATAAAGATGACAGCGACAAAGGGAGACAACATACTGTTCCTTAGGTATTTGACCCTGCGGACCAAGTGCTTCGCGCAGAACGAGTGAGTCACCGGAGATGACGGCTGGATACTCCATAATGTTCAGGACAGATCAGCACAAACAAAGCATAGGGAAGCTCCATACATTTTACAGTCTGTTTTCGGGACGTCCGGTCAAGTCAATCTGTATGCATTGTGGCTGCAATTGATTGCAGATCAGAAAGATACTCACAGCCTTCGTAGCCATTATTTATGGGGATGAATTCAGAACGTGCTGGAACGGATGCGGATGCAGTAGGAGGAGAGACCGGCGACAGGTCAGAACACCAAATTCTGGGGAGGAGGAGGAGGTCGTGTGGATCGGACCTCGCCGAAGGCGTGTCATTTTGACTGCTGGCACGTGGACGAATAGGCCTATATTTCTGCTAGACGCCCAACATCCCCGCTCGCAACGACAGCACTCTGGGTCGCCGACAAGTCCAGCAACGATGCCGTTCTACCAGATGCTATGCATTGCGGCGCACTATCCGGAATACGTGAGTCTTTCTCAAAATTGTCTTACATGTGGCATCCCTCACCCCGGATGTCCCTGGTGACAGCAACACCTGAAGCAGCTAGTGCACCAAGCCTCATCACACGTTCTGACCAATGGCGGGGTCGTACGGAGATTTTACAACATGGGTACACTCTCGCTCCCGCAGCGTATGCGGCGACACAAACAGTACCACCAAATCGGCGAGTACGTCTTTCCTGCACCAACCAGTCAGCCAGATTTCCAACACTAACGTTGACCCTTCTAGCTACTGGATGATGTACTTTGATGCATCCCCGCGCACGCTACACGACCTGAACGCGATAATGCGCCGTGACCCCCGTGTCGTCCGGTGGACGATGCTCAAACTTGGCGATAGGGTCGAGGATATGGTCAAGCCCCCTGCTCAGACTGTCTACCGGTACTCGTTGCCACTCCGTAAAACGTCAGCTTCGCTTCAAACGCCCATATCATGACGGAACTCCTACCGCTCATCCCCTTCATCTCCGCTGCGGGCCTTAGTCCGGATGCACGAAACCGATGCTGACGAATGTTACCATGGCCGTGTAATCCGTTCGCATTGCTTGTTACAATGTGAATTGAGCAACGGAGATTGCGCAGAGGTATCACCATGACTTTGACTTTTGTTAGATTACACTTGTCGCAATAGTATCGAAGGTTATGCGCCTCGTCTAATATCACTGCAATGTTCCTTAGTGTGTGAAATGTTCTCTATCGAAAGATGCTCGTCAGCGGGTTTGTTTCATTCAACTCATACTTGTATTGACACGAAGGCAGGCGCAGGTGGTGGCGCAGTGTCGACTATGTCATCTCTCATGATTCAGAGCTTTCATCTATGGCCTTCAGAGATGATCAGAGGAAATGGGCGTGGACAATCGAGAATGAGTTGTGTCGAGGGGCTCCACCAGGGGAGTGAGTGCGCCTGTCGCAGTGCCACTGATACCCTCTCGAGTCAAGCATCAATCATAGGTCGCATAGCAATATGGCGATCGAGTGGTATGCCGACACTTCGAAGCCAATCGTGTTCACGACGTTCTCGACCAAGCAAAGGACGAAGCGCACAATCTGTTACCATCTCTAATACCTAAATCCCGGTTCGCAATGACAACCATCCAGCCCAAGCTGACCACATTATCCGTCAGAGCCTTGCAAGCGACGACTGTTCCGCTGCTGGTTTCAAAAAACCGATTCTGCGCCAATATGCCACCCACTGCTTGACGTCCTCCACGCCCACCTTTCTGATATGCGGGTCCGCCATCGTCGAGGACGCTTCACATGCTCGCGCTGTGTCCATCCCACTCCACCCAAACGCCATCGCGCTATTCGCTGTCCGGGCCGCTCGCACGATCGCCAGCTTCTCAGACGTCGACTGAGCCGGCGCCGAGCTCCCAGAGGGTTGGTTCAGTGCGAGCCATTGCTTCAGCGGTACGATCGGGAGGGCGAGCTCCTGCGCGAGAACAGCAACAATGGTGCGCCACAGGGCGGGACGGGGGTGCACGACGTGCATCGTGCGCGTGTTGTTGGACGCACCGCGCAATTCAACCAACGCGCGAGCTGCGACGTCGAACTGGACCCAATCCACGCTCTGCGAGTCGGCATCAGTTGTGTTATTGCGGTAGACATGCGACAGACTAGAATTATTTACCCTCTCTTCATCCGGGAGACACCCAAGGTCTGAGGAGCTCAGCACCATTGCGGGGACCCAGTCTATTGGGTTCCACACACCGCTGGGCCCAGCGCATATCGTGCCGACGCGCACAATGAGTGGGTCGATTGCGGTGACTTTTGCAGCCGCGTGCAAAATCTCCTCCGCGATCCATTTGGACTGGCAGTACCCCCTTCCAGCAGCGTAAGAAGGAGGCAATGGCGTCTCAAGTACGACTTCCTCGGGTGGGGCGTCTGGAAAAAGACGGGCGCGGTAAGCGAGTATAAGTGCAATACGATAACGGAAGACACCCGCCATATAGAGCGCCCGAGGAACTAACGAAAAGCAGTCGGGGCATGATGCGATGCGGCGACGTCAGTACAAAGTCGACCAGACAGCGGAGACCCTTGATATTGGGCTCGAAGATAGATAGCGGAGAGACGAGATTGACGCGCCAGGCTACAAACGGAAATGAGTATCTGCTGCCTGCTACCGGACGAGTATAGACGTCACCGTTGTGGATGATGTGAGTTACAGATCGATGGAGCTACCAATTTCCGATAAGCTAAAGCAAAGCAAGCGAGTACCGGGCCCATGACGTACCTCTTCGTAGACGTGCACCGGGAGCCCCCAAGCAGGCTTGGTTAGATCTCCCTCCAGTAGTACAACCTTCTTCAACCGCAAAATGCGCGTATCGATCCCACGATCTCCTAGCTCCGAATTTTGTCTCTCGGACAAGGAAACACCCTTCTTTGAGGGCCTGTTGAAAGCATAAACCCGAGCGATGCTTGGGTCTGTCGCGAGTGCCTCGAGGAGATAGCAGCCCAAGCTACCAGTTGTGCCCGTAACGAATACAATGTCACCCGACGGAGGGTCGAACATATTCTCTGGCCGAGAGGGGAAGTCTGCACCATACTTGGCCACCATGGTATGCATGGCCGCGATAGCCGTGTGAAGCTGGGAAGGGGCGGGCATGATGCTAGGATTCGTGCGAGGACCGTCGCTGAGAGACGGTATTGGGAGGAGGTATTGATATATGACCCATCGCCGGCAAACTCTTCAAAATAATGCCAGGTTGGTCTAAAGGCTGAGAAAAGTACACGCCGAAGCATCATGCCTCTTGGACAGCGCTTCAATCGCTCTGCAGCATCGATGTCGCCCAAGTTCGTGGCTCGCTGACTAGCGGAGCCACACGTCCATTACTCTTTGTGCCTGCCACGAAGTGATTGCCGCGGCACAAGCCCCCATTCGTCCGCCCTGTGAAGACGGCAGCCCCATTACAGATGCCGATGGCATAATGGCCCGTACCATGAAACCCATACGCACCTGGAGAGTCTGTACCTGGCCACTCTCATCGCATAAGTCCAGTCGCACATTCGAGTGATGGAGTCATCAGAATATCTATTCAGCCGTTCAAGAACCTGATCGACGATCGAGCTTTAACCCGAAATTTGCGCCCAGCAAGGTCCCTACGCACGCTCGCAGCCGATAAGCCCCGCATCACGGCGAGTGTGCCCTCCGCGCGGTGAGTACGCCTTTTCTTGACTTAGTGGTTGTGATGCCAAGTGAGCGTAACGGCATTAATAAAACCACACATTCAAAGGATATTGAGGGGGTAATTCATTTTGCTGGCCGCGCGTGAGAGGCAGGTAGATCTGGGCAGATGCTGAGTCCTGCCGTGGTCTGGCCCGGGTCAGGACGAGGACCACTCCGACAGGAATACCGCTTGATCTTCTCGAACGGCAGCTCGGTAAACGGCCCGGCGGAACACAAAGGCTTGCGCTGACACGTTCTTTCGCCTACAGTCGTCTAAAAACACGCAATACAGTAGATGTCCTGTCGAGAAGAATTGAAAACTGTCTCATGGTGACGCACTACTATGACAATGGGCATCACTCTTGTGCAGCGTGGCATGTCGGCTGACGATGCATCTCACATTCTGAATCATAGAATGCCTGGTGAACAATGTGCATGCGTATCAGTCCGATAGGAGTTCAGAGGCATCAGCGAGCACTCAAGACGATGACAACTTACAATACACACACCTAAACGCCACAATCCAACTCAGATAACCCAATCTTGACATGGCTTATCAAACCCATACAGGACCCTACAGAACTACGGGTTCCTCAGCCCTGAGCTCCTTGAAAGCACCTACTCCCCGAGTTGCAGGCTGAGAGCGTTGTGCTCGCTGGAAACACTCCCATCAGACCCCTAGATCGGAGGTCAAGAACGACCACGACGTCTCCACCCCGCGACAGTCCCAAGGGTTATCATCCATGAGTGCACGGGTTTCCGCGAGGATTCGCACAGCGCCAGTGACATGATGGGAACAAGCTGGACGTCGTGCGACATTAGCAGCTACTATTCATTTCGACTAGCTAACACTGCCTGATGGATGACCTGACAATTGAAGTTGAGCGACCACGCTGAAAGAACCATGTACTATAGTAGTAGTGGGAAAGCAACCTTCCAGCCCCGGCTTTCTCTCAGTCTCTGAGAATGATGGGGGCTGTGTGGACATTGATTATTCATAAACAGATCGTCTAGTAACAGAATACCTCGCTCTGCAAGGATGATCATGGATGGAAACCGATGAAAAAAATATTCACGCAAGTTGCCGCGGAGTCAAACTTTGGCTTTGTCCGGGGTGTTTGGTATAATTCAAATTTGCGATCGCATTGGGCGAAATGTGATCGGAGGCTGGACGGAACTAAATCCGTGCCAGCGTGTCCGGCGACACTATCAATGATACTAGTATCACTAGATAGCTGGTGTCACTCGCCCAGATTCAAGTAAGTAGAATTGAATACGATGGCTAACGCCGTCTGCGGTAAATTCTACACTACATGGAGTCTACAGTTGTAACAATACGAACATCGACGCTGATCGCTACAATCCCATGAGGGCGTGGGGCTCCAGACCTATGAGATGCATGCTATGAGGGAATCGAGAAGCTTTGTAAGTACACAAACTACAGATGCGAGTATCGGGACTGGGTATAGTCTGCATGAATAACAATCGAAATTTGAGCAAAGTTCACATGCAATGACAGCGATGGTAAAAAAGTTAGCAGCAATATGATAGCAGCGAACGGCAGCTCTGATGATGATGAGGTGCAGATAGCAAATTGATAAATGAGGCAGAGTTCGAAGTCAGTAAAGCGCCGAACGATTTTAAACAGGTTAAACCAGAACGCCTCAGTACGACGGGCCACGAGAATACAGAGATAAGCGAAATGATGCCGGTGGAGGCCGAGTGTCATAATGGATAAATACGATCACTTGCAATCGCTCCTGACATTACGGCCAGACATGCGAGGAGGACTGGGGCGATGGTGATATAGAGTACTGCCGTCGTGTCGTTGCTGATAATGAGCACCTGGGACAAACAAAGCTCCCCGGTTATGAGAGCTGCGCTCCTTCCTCCGCAGATGGGTAGGTGGCGGGAACGGCTCAGGAAGACCTTGGTTACTGCCGTCGGAAAAGAATATCTTCGGCCGCCAAGCTTCGCGCTCATCCATAATACATGAGTTCTTGAATTTCTCGACGAGCGCCTCCTTTCCTCTGAGAGAGAATGCCTTAGAGAAAGGCCAAATCAAGGTACACTGATGACGTACTGATAAGTGGCGTAACACATCTGCAAGACCTTCTCGCTAGAATACATATTCCTAACGGCGCATCGTAAGCGGGATCAAGACGAATGTTTACTGAGATACCTTACCATTTCACACCAAGCTGGGTCTTAGCAAATTGCAAGAGATCTCCCACTGTGATAAAGTTAACGAAAGCATAGCCAACATTGCAGCCTAGGCGTGTCCGGAAAATCAGCAACCACAGCTCACATACAACATCGGAGGTCACTCGCCGTTCTGGAAGTCCATCCTAAGGTACAAGAAATCAATTCGACGAGGGCAGACTTTCCCGATGAATGCGAGCAGGTCCCTGTCACTCATCTTGTTCGGAATGTTTTTGATCATTACCGTTGTGCGCATGTCATTTCCTTGCTCGATAGCCTCTACGTTTAGCTGATTCTTCTCGCTGATGACATGGGGTGTGCCGCCAGGATTCGCATGAAGACGTCTCTCAGCGCCATCGAACGAGGCCTCTTGCGACGTAGAAGGGCGACGCACACACACGCGGGGTGCAGTAGTGTATGTTTGATCATACTCGTCGGTGTCGGTAGGACTAGAGCTTTGGCGCTGATATTCAGAGTGGGAAGGCTTCTTCTGAGCGGAAAGATGATACATCGTACGAGGCGATGGAGGAAGACAGTACTCGATGGTCGGGACTGGTGGAGCGGCGAAAGTCCACTGGCTGTTGGCGCCGGCATCAACGGCGGTGTTGGCATATGCACCAGGCATTGCAGAGTATGGTGTCTGGTGCACATACGTGTACTCTGGAGGCACATACAAGGACGACGAATCGACGTATGAATGCGGGTATGCAGGCGCTGGTATAAATTCTGGACGCTGCAATCTTGCTGTTCCGGCTAACTCATCAGGTCCGATACTAATACTCCTTGGTCGAGACGGAGTCTGAGGAGTGGATGAGGTCTAATGGCATGTCAATCAAAACCTCGTGAAATCTCGGGAAAAGGTACCTTGCGGACGGCGTCGAAGAATAGATCATTCGAGCTGCGTCTACTGTGCTCCAGCGGCGACTCTCTTCCTCGGCACGCTCTTCGAACGGCATCTGGAGCACCCATATTCTCGCTGGCGCTTACACTGCGGGGGCGAATACGGCCTGAAGCAGCCACAGCATAAGCGATCCAGCCAACAGCAGAATTATCTAAATTCACTACCTTCCATGCAACGCGTGTCCCTCTCGGATTGTTCTTGCTGGTCAGGATTGGGGTTCTCGGTGAGATGGTCCGACACTTGATATTCAGCTGACCTGGCACCGCCCGTACTGTGAAACGGGTCATCCGAGTGCGAGGGTGTCCGTTGTGATGGGGCATCGTTCTTAATGAAGAGACGCAGCAGACATCCCATAAAGTTACGTCCATTGAGCGTCCTGTACGCGTTCTCAGCATCACGAACGTCATAATACTCCGCATGAAACATCTGAAAAGGCTATAGCTGAGCATTCTTCTGAGCCAAGACCCGAACAAGACTCACAGACTCATGAGTATCAGCGCCGAATGTCATCAGGTCGCCAAATGAAGAGAGTAACTTCTGCAAGTTCGCCGATTCAAAGCGACGGTCTCCGACAGATACGGTCACCTTTCCATCCGTCTCATCTATGAAGTTAGATTTTCCCGCGATCTAGACCCATCCGTGAAACAATTTCAGCATTTGACACACCAGGCGACTATCATGGGGGAAGGCGGCGGAAGTCATGAAATAAGCAGACCTACCATTTCTAGTCGCTCAGCGTTTACGAATCCTGCGTCAAGACGCACATCATCGAGTCCCCGAAGAACTTGTCCAGCAATTTGCCTCTTCGCGCGAATGGCATGCCGCACGTTATAGAAAGCAAGGATCACGATCCGATGAGATGACTGAAACCGCACCCAGATGCCTTTGATGTCGCCCATCGGAGCGAAAATGGCTTTGAGCTTTGCCCCGGGCGTGTCTACAGGGACATTTTGAATCTGTCATGCGCATATAGTCAGCTCTTGTATGGTCCAACCCAATACACGGCGGGCGCCAGCTAACCAGAAGGAAATGACTAGCATTGCTATCGCTCTGGTCTCCTCCGGGATACAATCCAGAAATGGTATTAAGATCATCGAAAGGCAAGCCCTGTGATCCCAAATTTGCGTCTTCGTCGCGAGGTGTGATGTCGACACTGCTGATGTTCTTTACGAGCGCTGAGACGGGATCAAGAACACTTCCCGCTGGCGAGGTGGCATATCCGGAATCAGTATCAGAGGAAATAGACTGAGACCTCGCGCTGGATGGGGTAAGGTATCCACCTTGGGGTAGAGGCTGATGTCCTTTCAGGGCCGTGGGAGAGTCAGTTAGAGCTGGTGAACCGGGAAAGCCTATCCCGTCGGCAACATGCATCCAGCGCAGAGACGAATGTACTTCGGAAGGGGTGGACGGCCCATCGTGAGTAGCCGAGTTGAATGACGAAGAGGGTGTCAGTGGTGGAGTCAGTAGCGATGGCTGGCGGCAAGGAGAGCCAGAGGCGCTGCGCTGGCCTGAAGAGGCGAGCTTGGCCCTCGGAGGGGTTGTCTCTGGGCTAGCAGCGAGATCGAGGGGACGTAATTGGGGGCGGTAGCGCGCTTGAAAACGATGTGCCAAGCTAGATGGTGCCGATGCATGAGCCTGCTCCCTGTCAAAAGTTGGCGGAACGTTTAGACTGGTGCAAATGGATTGAAGAGGGAGTGACACATGCCAGAGACTAGGGAGAGATGGTGTAGAGTGGATGCGCGGGGGGAGCGGCGGACGGATGTCAGTGCATTGGGCCTGATATAGATAGATAGAAGCCAGATGAGTTGAGCGAGGAGTGTAGAGAAACGAGACGGACCTCGTCGGGCTGTAGAGACAAGCTGGGGAAGGACACCGGGGAGCAGTCCATTGAAGCAAGCGAGCACAATCGCGGAGGAGGGAGATACGAGGGGAGGTGAGAATACAAGGAGAGCAGCAGTAGTACAAGAGACGGGGAGGAGGAAATAAGAGGCGACAAGAGGACAAGAGGGAGGGAGAGAACAAGGACGGGTGATGGATGAGAGCCGCCGGAGACTATATACGCGAGAGGGCGATCTTGGACGCTGACATCAGGGCGGGACAGGACATGCACTGAGAGAGGGCTCTGAGAAGATCGTGGCGAGATTTCTGCGGGCGAGCACCCGCCGAACGCCGCGCCATCTCAATCGTGGATCCCGACGGGAGCTCACGACCGATCTAGCAACCGCACTGCCCTCACCGTGCCACGCACAGCGTCTCCTGTGCCCAGCGCGCTCGTGTTCGTATACACCACCCCCTCCGTCGACATCATCGGACGGACGACGACGACGACGACTGCATGAAAAAGAAACCCGGGCAGGGTCCGCAAATTGAAATCCACGGCCGACATGCCCGCCAAGCATGTCAACGCCCCGGTGCCCTGTTTGGGCGTGACTGCACCCGTCAAATGGAAGACCCCCTTCTCGCGCCGCACGCGTTACACACTCACTCCCCCAGCGTCCGCCGAGCATTCGAGCTGGCGGCTGGACTGCACGGCGTCGCTCTAGCGGATCGCACGGTGGGCGCGGGAGATGTGCGGCAGGAAATGGAAGGAAATGGCCGCAAGGGCCATAAACTCAGGTGGTGTCAACGAAGGACCAGATCTGTCGCCGAGGACACAAGGTTTAATGAATGGGATGACAGCACCTTCCTAACCGGGACCAGCAGGCAGGATCCCACGCCACACCCGCGCCTATGCTGCTCCGCGACACTTGCCCCGACGTCCTCCGCCCGCTCTCCGCCATCTGGAGACGGCGGTGTGCGGGGTGAATACTCTCCAAGCAAACGGGTCCGAGGTGACGTCGGCCACGAACAG